AGGGGCGCCAGGGCCGCGACTGCGGTCATGGGTTTGACGGGTAGGAGCAGCGGGGACAGGTCGTGCAGGGTTGCGAGGGCGCCGTTGGATTTGGGGGCGCTGGCGGTGGTGGAGGTTGCGCAGGTGTAGTTCTGCGTGCCGAGTCCGAGGAGGACGCGCTTGAGAACGAGGCCGGAGGGAGGTGGTGGGAGACTTGAGGGCGGTGGGACGAGGGTGGGCGGGAGGGCCCGTGGGTGGAGTTGGGGGAGAGGGGAGGCGGTTGTTGTGATGGTGAATATGGTGAGGATGGCGAGAAGGAGGGTTTGAAGTGGTGAGATTGTTTTTAGTGTCGTGAGGAACATCGTGGCGGATGTGATGGATGGTCGGATTTGATGGTAATCTGAGAGATGACGATTTCGTCCTTTGACGACTGATCCCTAGGCCCAAATGGAGGGATGATTGTTCCAGGCGTTCCCGAGAAGGATGCGGACGTGGGCAAATATACCAGGTCTAGTTGACTTAGAACGGGTATACTAGGTCCTGGATATGGGAAAGGGAAACGATGAGAGCGGGTAGAGATGTAAGGATATTGGCTAGAATGTATTCCACCAAGCCTGGTCTACCACGCTCCCTTGAGTAATTGAGGACAGCGGTGTCTTCCATACCAGACACGAGCAGAACCTATATACTCTACAAACGAGATCCCTACCTCGACCACACCAGCCTTCTAAAAGGCCTGCATGCGCCGCCATGCGCCTCCCGCATAGACGGAAATCTTACTACGCAGCCGCTCTGCAGCCACAAAAGCGTCGACAGGACGCTACGACTGTGCCTCCCGAGTTAACATCCGGGATCTGGGCAAACTATCGTCGAACAGAGTAAGATTTCCGCAAACCCGGTGGAGGAAGAGGAAGCCTGGAAGCTTGACGGGAACAAATGACCAGTAAGACGCAAGAAGAAGCTCAGAATAGAAACGATCAGTGCAGGGAAGTCCGCATGGGTTACCTTGCGCCGCAGATGAGGAAGCCGGTCGTGCATGGCTTTGTGTAACGACCTTGGGCCGCGGGCGCTTAGAATGTGGATGGGTGGTTGAAGATCAGTATCTCGCGATTTGGAAGTTGAGATGATACGGAGACCCGCCAGGCTTGTTTTCTGCGGCCGCCATACACCCTGCTGCTATTACCGCCTGTTAGAAGAAGGTCACGCCTGAGCTTCATTTGTCCAACTTCCATATTGCAGGCAGAAGGGAAAGTGGGGAAGTACTTGCGAGCACCAGAATCGTGCAGATGTTGAAACATGGGGTGCGGCTCAGAACAAGCCCTGTCTGCGTTTTCGGAGGTTAACCGATCTTGCAGGACTTAATCTCACCGGATGCAGAGATATCTAAAGATAGCAAAATGGCTCATCGAAGCCTAAATGAGCCGTAAACGGCAGATTAGCTCACTTTCCCCAACCTCATCTCATCCGTCCGAGATGGCGGGGCCGGCGAGGAGGCTGTTTGTGTCCTGGGTCGAGCTTTGACATGTCTCCATCTTCTTGCATAAGCTTTCGGCTTGTCGGCTTGACAGTTGGGTAGTTGCAGCTGCATGCGTCTTGCGCGTCCAAGCGTGAATAGCAAACAGGCGAGGTTGGCGCGCAACCGCTGTCAACGGCTGCGCGATTTGAAGGATCGCTACGAGTCCCAGTGAGCCTCGTGTCGTCGTCATCTAGCGAGCGCAATACTGCTGTGCCACCTAGAGTGTAATTGTTGAGGATTGTTCTCCGCATTTTGGCTTTTGCGGTGCATGAGAGATATGCAGGGCAGGTAAGCAGTAAGTCACGAGCAGGCCGCTGTCGACTGTGTGAGTGACTTCGGTTGCATCAAGAAGGACCTGTGTTGTTTGGGGATGATCCCGTTCAGCTACCTTTGGAACGCCTTGTATGCTTGAGGGATCGAAGGGCTCTGAGCAGCTTGGTTTCTCTTGAACCTGGAGCCGTGCTCTGTCCGTCTCAAGCCAGATATCTGCGTCAAGTCGACTTCAATCAGGAACCCCGAACGGTTCCCAGCGAGGTGTATGAAAGAGCTGTGCCGCAACTGCGGCCTTCATCATGCTTGAGATAGGGAAGGAATTCTTATCTCGAGGTCACCTCAGGAATTGGCGTACTCACCATCCGCCACCGCCGGCTTCTGGCACTAATACTCGTACCCTGCAGAGTAACACATCCTCGCTGCGAGATTCTCTCATATACGACACGGCAAGAAGTGGACGCATTTAGAAGAGAGATCTGTCTCAGCTGACGGAATATACGGGAGTAAAGTGTTGGTGGCTTGCCGTGCGCCTTGATCATTACGTCTGACGATGCAAAGGGTAGTAAGCTTTGTATAGCATATACCGAGTACGCGTTTGATCGTGGGCTTGAACGCGCGTCTCCATGGTGGAATCACTGCCGCGCAAAGCAATTGGTGTGTACAGCTGCAACCCCTTTTGTTCAGGTATTGATACAGAACTGAGAGGCATCTGAAAAGAGGCTACGGAAGGGGGAGAGAGGGAAGCGAATGCCGCCCAACCATGTCCCATCCATATGACAGGGTAGTTGTTCTTTCCAACCCCGTCAGAGATGCGAGGGCTCTCGTGGCTTCACTTGCACATTACCAAGCATACAGCGCACCCTACCACCTTCAAGGCAACACAACAACCCAACAGGATTTTTACAGCCTTGACTGGCGTTGCAGATATTGCCTTACCGCAGCAGCAACTATCCCAAACATTAGCCTCCAGACCACAACTTGGATCGACCAGACGGCCATCCGGATCGTGAACACTTACGCAGCATAACCAAACACCACCTCCCCACTGCCCCAATCCCACTCCCCGCCCCCAACTTCAGAAGCCCACCCAACAGACTGAACTTCACATTCCCCTCACGGTCAAAGTTCGGCTTCAACGCACTCATGCTCGCGAACTTCTCCTGTTTCTTCGCCGTGTACGGCGGATAGCGCACCGCCAGCATGCTCTCAATCCAGGATGGCGTGGTCGTGACGGAGCGGCGGTGGGTGAAGGTGTCGAAGGAAGCTTTGCCGCGGTAGGCGCCTTGGCCGGAGTTGCCGACGCCGCCGAAGGCGAGGGTGGGGAGGGAGGCGTGGAAGAAGCCGTCGTTTATTGAGGCGCCGCCGGAGCGGGTTTGAGAGAGTACTGCGAGGGGTGGAGTCAGTCGTTGATAGCTACTCGCCATGAGCGATTGGGGGGATGATGACGCGCACCTTTGTCCGTTTCCGCCTTACTGCCGAACGGGTAGATGCCGAGTGGAGTATCATCGATCTCATTTGCCATCCTGATCGCCTCATCGAGGTCCTTGACCGGCAGCACGGGAATCAGCGGACCAAAACTCTCCTCCTTTACCAGCGAGTCCTCCAAACTCTCGACCTGCACAACCGTCGGCTCGAGAAACAGCGTCTCCTCATCCATGGTCCCCCCTAACAGAATCTTCCCTTGCGACTCATCCAGCATCTTCTTCAACCGCTGAAACTGGCGCTTATTCACAATCCTCCCATAATCCGGACTCTCCCTTGCGCCCCTGGGATAAAACTCCCTGAGCACCTGCTCCATCTCCCTCACCAGCTGCGGCAAGATCTCCCTATCCACGAGTATATAATTCTGACTGACACAAACCTGCCCCGCATTCAGGATCTTCGCCCACAGCAGCCTCTTCGCCGCCAACCTCGGATCCGCGCCCCTCATTACAATCGCCGGATTCTTGCCGCCAAGCTCCAACGTCACGGGTGTCAGCGTCTCGGCCGCCTTCTTCGCGATGATGGTCCCGACGGTTGCGTTGCCCGTGTAGAAGATCTTGTCCCATTTCTGCTCGAGCAGGAGGGTTGTCTCGGGGATGCCGCCTTGGACGCAGGCGTAGGCGGAGGGGTCGAGGGAGGTGCTGATGATGTGGGCTAGGGCGGCGGAGGCGTGAGGCGCGTTTTCAGAGGGCTTGAGGATTGCGGTGCAGCCGGCGGCGATGGCGCCGATGAGGGGGCCGAGGGAGAGCTGGATGGGGAAGTTGTAGGCGCTGAGGGAGGCAGGGCATGTTAGCAACGGTTCGTTCTGTAAATGGCGGATGTGTGGACGTGCTGTAGGGAGGAGAATGGCATAGTTACCCGATGACTAGCACAGTGCCCAGAGGATCCTTGCGTATCCGGGGGCTGAACAGCTTGTTGGCGAGCGGAATGTCGGGCGCGGACTCGTCTTTTACCCATTTCTCGAGGTTGTTGCACATGAACACGATGTCGTTCTCGCACCATCCAACCTCGGTGATGTAGGTCTCGAACTGGGACTTCCCGAGATCCTTCTTGCAGGCATCGAGGATGAGGTCCTCATTGTCTCTAAGTCTGACATCAAGCAAGTGTCAGCGGGCTTTACGAGAATGAGATAGGAGGAAGGAAGCGAGCAGTACCCCCAGTACAGCTTCCGCAGCTGCTTCAATCGGTATTCGACTGGTCGTGTGCGGTGCGCCCGAAAGGTGGTGCGGACCTCATTGACGATGCTTGGGATAGACTCAATTGGAGTAGTGGAGAAAGCGGGGATCTTCTCCATCGTGTAGGTTGTTGACAGCTCAGTGGGAGACGGTTTCTGGTATATAAGCTTAACTTATGTTCACGAAGCTTAAAGGGGCTTCAGAAAGTTGTTCGGTTGATCTCTTTTGCAAAGACTGACGAAGCTCCGAGGTCCGTCTGCTGGCAGCTCGCGCAGCACGTGTCAAGGTGCCCCACTGCACTGCACGGAATCTTACAGTAGACCCTGCCAAGTCGGGGGTTCGTCACCTCCGCCGTGCTCGTTCTCCCGAGTTCTCTTGTTCAGGGGTGACCTCAGCCGGTTGAGGTACCTCGGTAGAAACTCAAGCTATACACTAAGATGCTTTGCGTTGTCTTCGAGTTGCGAGGGTAGATGGGGTTGCACAAATAGCTCGGATGGGATTAAGACGGTAGATGTTGGTTGGAAGGAAAACAGAGTGACGTCTTTACAGATCACTCATGACCTGGTTGTGATTTACAGCTGTGAGACATACAGATGAGTAGTAACAAACATGGCTGATATGCAATGACTGTATGTGGTACACGCCCCAGAGCCAGCGGCATGCCCAACTACACCTACATGATGAGGGGAGTGTGATTGCCTTGCTTTTCCGACCCAGCCCAATATAAAGCGAAAGGACAGCATCCTCGTGCCGCTAACGCGCCATCTGATGCAAACGTGACTCCCAAACGCCCAGCTCCGCGCTAAGATTGACACCATGGGACCTACCGGTCATGTAGGTTGCAACATTTCCCGCCCTTACTCTTCCATCACTCCTCACTCTCCCCATCCCCTTCCTCAGACCCTCCAGCCCTGCCCCACACCCTCGGCTGCTGTACCAATGCACCTCCGCCAACAGCCATCTCCCTATCCCTCCTCATCCCCTCCAGCACAGCGACCAGCCCGCCCTGCCGCAGCCGCTGCAGCACGACCTTCATGCCCTTCTTCGCGTTCGGCTGGCTGCGCTCAGCGCGCCTCAGGCCAATAAGCTCGATGGACCGTTGAATGGACGCCTGGCTCCAGCTGCGCAGGAACCCGACTTTCTCCTCCGGCTCCTCGTCCAGCTCCCTTGCTAGGCCCGGTTCCCCAGGGATCGAGGACCGCGCAGCCCGCCGCTGCTTCCACCGCTCGCCAAGGCGCGAATGCAGCGTCACTGTCGTCGTGACATCACACTTCTCCTCCTCCTCCTCCGGCGCTTGCTTCAGGAAACCGTGCTTGGCCGCCGCGTTCGGCACGTTGCCGAAAACTCCCGTATCCGACTGCGACCGGCGATACAGTTGCCGCTCCACAACACTCAGCACACCCGTCCACTCAAGATTCCGACTCTCCGTCTCCATGGTGCCGGCCTTGACATCCACGACGCTCGTCTCGAGTATGTAGGCCTGGCTGTCGCCATCTTTGCCCGCGCCGAGCAGGCTACGCGGCACGAGTTTGAGGACGGGGGCGGGGAGCTTGGAGCGCTTGAGGTGCAGGCGCGTGGTGGTGAGGGTTTGGGTGGTGGGATCATAGTGGCGGTCGATGGTGTCGGTGGAAAGGACGTGGGTTGCGTGTGGGTTGGGGTAGCGCAGGAAGTAGGCGAGACTGACGGCGGAGAAGGGGTAGCTGTAGGTGTCGGTGCTGGAGTAGAACTTCACCATGCTGGCATTGCTGGGTGGGGGGAGCTGGAATGAAGTAGAGAGAATGGACTAGTTCGGGTTGTAGTGTAGCTTGGAACTTCAAGGGAGAGCATGCAGATGTTGATGGTGTTGATATGGGCGAGAGTTGCAGACTCCGGCGGAGTTTCTTGATGATGCGGTGATGGTTACTCGATGAGGAATGGTGTCACGCGACGGCTCATGCCGCTCTTAGCGCGGGGAGCACCCTTGAGCGTGCCTGACTTGCACGTGACTATCAAATTGCGGGACAGTCATCAAGTACACCACCATGCATAGAACATATTGACATATAAGAGCGGCTCCTGAATAACTTCAGCTCACGGTAGATAACATGGCGGAGAAGCCACCAGCAGGCCCAAATGATCTGGGCGAGCCCGTCTCCGTCGCGGCTCTCTCAATTGCCGACAAAGCCACCGCACCCAATGCCGCAGCAGAGCAGCAAATAGATCCCTGGTCCGTATCTGCCGCAACAGACGAGCACGGCAATATTCTCGCTTTCGACTACGAGGCCATCTCACGGTACCTACTCCTCTCTACCAATATTGTCAATGCCGCTCATATATAAACCCCAGAAAATGGAACACTAAGCTCATCGACAACGCCCTCCTCCAGCGCTTCGAGTCACTAACAGGCCACAAACCGCACCGCTGGCTCCGACGCGGCCTCTTCTTCTCGCACCGCGACCTCGAATCTATCCTCGACGTCTACGAGCGAGGGGAGACCTTCTTCCTCTACACCGGCCGCGGTCCCTCCAGCAGCTCCATGCACATTGGCCACACGATCCCCTTTGAGTTTACCAAGTGGCTGCAGGATGTGTTCGACGTGCCGCTGGTCATCATGCTGACGGACGATGAGAAGTTTCTGTTCAAGGAGGACCTGAAGCTGGAGGAGGTGATCGGGTTCGCGAGGGATAATGCGAAGGATATCATTGCCGTGGGGTTCGACGTCAAAAAGACGTTCATATACTCTGACCTCGAGTTTCTGGGGACGGCGGGAAAGCACATGTTGCTCAACGCCTGGGAGTTCAGCAAAGGCATCACATTCAACCAAGTCCGGGGTGCATTCGGCTTCGACGGAAGGTATAACTCTGCCCCCTTCCCCTCCCCTAAACCCACCCCGAACCCCCAAACCTAACGCACACCCAGCACAAACACCGGCCGCATCTTCTTCCCCAACCTCCAATGCGTCGCCGCCTACGCAACCTCCTACCCCTTCATCTGGGGTGACGACCCACTCTCCCCCGTGCGCTCCAAAAAGACCGCCGCAATCCCCTGCCTGATCCCCTGCGCCATCGACCAAGACCCGTACTTCCGCCTCCTGCGCGACCACACCAAATCCATGTCCCACAAGATCCCGCGGCCGGCGCTAATCCACTCCAAGTTCCTGACCGCGCTGCAGGGCGCCGGGGGCAAGATGTCCGCGAGCAATCCGAACAGCGCGATCTTCATGAACGATAGCGCGAAGGGGATCAAGAACAAAATCAACAAGCACGCCTTTTCCGGCGGACAGGAGACGCTAGAGCTGCATAGAGAGAAGGGCGGGAATCCGGACGTGGATGTCGCGTATCAGTATCTGACCTACTTCTCCGACGACGACGAGAAGCTGGAGCGCCTGGCGAGGGATTATAGGAGCGGGGAGCTGCTGACGGGCGATATGAAGAAGGAGTGTATTACCCTGCTGCAGGAGTATGTAGGGTCGTTCCAAGAGAGGAGGAAAGCGGTCTCGGAGGAGGTGCTCAACGAATTTATGAGACCGAGGAGACTTGAGTGGGGTGGGAATCCGAACCCCAAAAAGCCGCCGCCGAAGGAGGACGGGAAGGCGGGGAAGGAAGGTAAGAAAGAGAAGAAGGAGAAGGCGGAGGGTAAGAAGGAGCAGGCGAAGGGGGAATGACTGGCCGTCGGGAGCTTGTCACATGGCGAGATTCAAAGCTGCGTGCGTGGTGATAGACTAGACACTCTGAATAGAAAGTCTTCCGCAAGTTTGGGCTAGAGCGTCGTTTAGAATCTTCATCACATACCACCCTGCCCGCAAACACAAAAAACCGGTAAACTATTACGGGCCTTGGGTCACTCCAATACGCCCTTGATTAGCGGTAGGGGCAATAACAAGGATTGGCAGAGGCACGTTCAACACAGACGACCACACCTCTGACATGATATCTGTAAAACGAAGATTCGCAAGATATCGCGTTCCCACCAAGCCGAGAATAATTGACATATTGTGAAGAGTTACTACAACTCAAATCGACTCTGCCCCATACAACCAAACACAGGACAGCGCGTGCCAATCCCGCAATCATACACTGTACACCCTCTTGTATCCATATCTGTACAATGTCTTCTATCCCGTCTCTTCCCATTAAGCTATGACGTCTCTCGTTCCACACAATCCGAATAATTTACAGAATGCCGCCCATTGCGCCTTGGCCAGTAAACCTCAAACCTGTTACGCCCACAATCCGATATAACCGAAAGCTTGTCGTGATGTCTGCATCAAACAGCCAGCGCATTCTTCAGTCCACTCCAGAACCCACTCTTCCTCTGTGACTGGGATGGCGATGGCGGCAGCGGCCGCCTCTCACTTCTCTCGCTCTTGTGATGCCGTTCGCTCTCCCGGCGGCTCGTCTTCGGTCTTTCTGCCTCTGCTCTACTCGATCGAGGCCGATCGCTTTCGACGCGTCTAGATCTCGGTCGTTCCTCCGCGCGATGCTTGGTCGAAGTAGGAGCCGGGGGCTGAGGTGGGGCTGCCTCTTGTTCTGGCGCCGCTGCTGGCTCCTCCGGTATAGTTTCGATGGCCGGTTCTGGCTGCGGCACCTGGAACGGTTCTGCCGGTCCAGCGCTAGCCTCTTTGGCCTCTTTTTCCCTTCTGCGCGCTTCTTTGCGAGCGCGGTGCTCAGCCTCCTCCTGCGGACTCCTCGGCTTTTTGTGCCGATGCTCTTCCCTCTCAGTGGATGTAGGAGCACGCTGCTTAATCGTCACCCTCTCCTTCGGCGGCGACAGCGGTTCCGTAATGGATCTCGTGAGCAAGCTCAGCAGCCCCGGCCGTTTTGGGCTGGGATCGCGACGTGCACGATCCGAATAGGTCCTGCCGGATGTCTTGAGGCTTCGCGGTCTCTCCTCGACAGGAGAGGTCGCAGGCGGAGGTATGTCTCTCGTGCGCTCTTCCCTGGCTTTTCCGTTGGTAGGACGTCGCTCACGCTCTCGACGCTCGTGTCTTCTTTTGCGCCTTTCTTCTTCCTCTTGTTCTTCGGCCGCTAGTCTCTTCTCCTCTTCCTCCTTCTGCGCGTCCTCGAGACGGCGCGCTTCCCTACGAGCCTCATGCCGCGCCCTCCGCTCCTCCTCCTTTCTTTTTGCTTCTTCTTCAGCAGCCTGTAGCTTCGCGGCTTCGGCTCGTTTCGCTTCCCGTCTGGCTTCATGTCTCTTCTTCCTCTCCTCGTCCTCGCGTCTTAGGAGTTCCCGCTCTGCAGCATCCGCAGCTAGTTTCGCCTCCTCCGCCTTCCTCGCCTCTCTGCGCCGCCGGCGCTCCCGGTCTTCCTCTTCTGCAGCCGCCCTCGAAATCCTGCGTGAAGTGCTCGGCCGCTCTTTCTCCTTCTCTTTTGCTATCTCTCGCACCTTATCCCTCTCCTTACTATCCTTACTCGCATGGCTATCGCGGCGCGCATGGCTCGGCTTGGCAGCCCCGAATATGGAGAAAGCGCTTGTCTCGGCGGTGTTGGACCGCGGTCTCTGCGTTCGGATCCAGCCTGAATGCTCGTTGCGGGAGGATGACTGCCGTTTGTGGCGTTTCTCTTGGCTCGGTGATGGCGGCGATGCGGGAGAGATAGGAACGGCGGTGTCCTCTGCCGCGGCGGTCTCGTTTGAAGGTGTTTTGGGCGCATCGGGGGGAGGAGCGGCTTCTGGTTCCTGCGCGTCTGGTTGAGGCTCGGCCGCTGGCGCTTCTGCTTCTGGCTGTTCTACTATAGCTGTTGGTTCTTCTGCAGCTGGCTCTTCTGCCGGAGGCTTTTCTGCCGGAGGCTCTTCTACTGGTGGCTCTTCGGCTGCTGTGGTTGGTTCTTCGGCTGGTGGCTCGTCCGCTACTGTTGCTGTCTGATCAGCTGGTGGCTCTTCCGGGGTTGGCTCTTCCGCCGCTGGCTCCTCAGCCTCCGGTTCTCCAGCAGGAGCATCTTCAACAACCACAACCACAACCACCTCAGCAGCAACATCAGCCTCCGGTTCAGCACCCCCAGCTGCAGCTGGTTCTTCCCGAGGCGCTTCTTCCGGGGCAGGCTCAGAAGCTTGCTCACCGGCCTCCTCTGGAGCTGCGGTCTCCGTAGGCGCAGGCTCTGCTGCCGGCTCCTCTGGCTCGGCGGCAGGAACCTCATCCGCTGGATTGTCTTCAGGAGGCGGAGGATCATGCTGTGGCTGAGCATCGCTTGCACCTTCTGGCGCTGGAGCAGCATCCTCAAGAGCAGTAGGTGCTTCGGCCGCTTCCGGCTCTTCCGGGTCCTGATCTGGCGCGCTCGCTTCTGCTTCGTCAGCAGCCTTGGTTTCCTCGGTAGGCTCGGACTTTTCCTCTGGCGCTGGCGCCTCAGCTTGCTCTAGTATTTCCGCAGGAGCCGGATCAGTTGGCTGATCGTCGTTGGCAGACTGCTCGCTCTCGGCGGGGGGACCGGTTTCCTCGGCGGGGGCCTCAGTCTCCTGAGCAGGGGGCGCAGCAGCCTCGTCAGCGGTAGCAGCCTCAGCGGGAGCCGATGCGGCGCCCCCGTCATCATTGTCTGGAGCTTGGTCTGCTTCTAGCTCCGTAGCTGGGGCTGCTTCTTTCGGCTCGGCAGCGTCTTCGGGTGGTGGTGCCTCCTCGGCATCTGGCGCCTGCTCGCTTGTTTCTGGCTGGTCATCGGATTTCTCTTCCTCGGCCTTCTCAGGTTCGTTGTTTTCAGCAGCAGGTAGATCGCCTTCCGCCTTGTCGTCCTGCTCAGCAGCGCCCGCGTTCTTGGCCGCCTCGCCTTCTTCGTTCGCTTTACTGTCGTCTGGTGCGGACGTACTGGTCTCCGTCGGCTCGTCCTGCTTTGCCACGTCACCGTCACTAGGAGCGTTTTCCTCTGCAGCTTCTCCCGTAGCTTCCTCAGACACCGTCGCCCCGGCTACCTCGGCCTCGGCCGCCCGTTTTGCTTCCTCGATAACCTCCTGAGCGACTCTCACGTCTTCGGGTGAAGGCTCCTCAGGGGCCTCAGAAAAGATTTCAGCGGCTTCTTCGGCTGATGGCTGCTCTTCTGGTTGCCCGGTCTCCACCTCAGCCTCTGCTGGGTTGTCCTCAGGCGTCTTCTGAGTGTTTTCGTTATTCTCTGTGGGAGCTTCGGCGGGAGGTTGCTGGGCTTCTGTTTCGGGTGGATCGCTAGCTTTGCTGTCTTCACTGTCTGCTGGAGGCTGCTCTTCGCTTGCTTCGGACTCTTTGTTTGGCTCCGAGTCGTCCTTGTTCTCGGGGGTTGAATCACCGTTGTGGGGTTCGTTGGCAGCATCCTCAGCCTCAGCCTCTTTAGCTTCTTCGTTGTTGGCTGCATCGGGAGATTCCGCGTCGTCGTCTTTCGCCACTTCTTCTGACGGCTGCACAACATCGTCGTCCTCATCTTGACCTTCAGTGACTGGATGTTGTTCGGCCTTCGGAGGCTCATCTAGCTGCTGAGGCTCCTCGGCATCCGGGTGACTGTCCGGCGGCGACGATCCATCTTCTGCATTTTCGTCTGATGTGACTTCTGGTAGGGCTTCAACAATCTCGCTGCCGCCTTCAGCTTGCTCCTGGTCATCCGCAGCTGGCTCTGTCTCGTCCGGAGTCTCCTCGACCTTTTGATCCAACACTGCGTCAGCAGATCCATCCGCAGCTGGTTCCGCAGTATCTTTGCTTGATTCTGCCTCTGGTGTCATGTCTCCGTTCTCGGCTTCGGCTTCGATCTCGACTGGCTTGGGCGCTGCGCTCGGCTTGTCGCCGACAGTTTCGGCATTATCTTCCAACGAAGTGGCGTTGGTGGATTGGTCTTGTTCATCCTCGTCTCCGGATTCCTCACTCTCGCTCTCGGTCTCTTCGTCACTATCTTCGTCGCCTTCGGCAACTGGCGGTTCTTGAATAGGTTCATCTTCCTGCTTCGCGGGAGCAGGTTCCTCCTGAGTGGGTGGCGGCTCGTCGGGTGACTCTGTAGTTTCGGCAACGACAGCGGCTTCTGCTTCTGGGGCCTGGTCATTCTGCTCCTCTGGCGTACTTGAATCACCCTCGTCCTTTGAAGGAGTTGCAGATTCTGCAAGACTTCCCTCGTCCGGTGTCCCCTCATCGACAGCATCGAGTGGAGCCTCTGACTGCTCAGAGGCGGCGGCAGTTTCTTCGCCAGCCAAGTCGCCTGCAGGTTCTGCCGAAGCGCCCTCATATTGAGCACCCTCTCCTGCAGTCTCCACGACCGCTTCCACATCCGGACTCTCTGGGTTGCTGTTATCGGCAGCTAGTTCGGCGACCGCATCGGCACCGTCGCTTTCCGCAGGCGGTTCAGGGCTACTTTCGCTGTTGGCCACGGAAGCTTCCTCATCAGGCGCTTGTGAGGCTGGTTTCTCGGCTTGACTAATAGCAGCCACCTGTTCGGTCATCTCTGCTGCATCTGAGTTTGCCTCGGAGCTGCTCTCAGGGTTCTCTTCAACTGCGGCCTGGGACGCCGGCTCTGGGGTTTGATCGGCGGCGGCCTCAGCGGCGTCCGGTTCCTCTTGAACAGCTGGTTCCTCGACAGGCACCTCTGGCAACGTTTCAGCTTCAGCCTGTTCTGGAGTGTCGCCTTCTGGTGAAGCTTCCGCAGCCTCAGGCTCAGCCGCCCCTTGCTCCTCGGAGTTGTCCGATATTTGGACTTCAGTCGCAGGCTTTTCGACTGTAGGTTCGCTTGAGGGTTCAATGGCTGTTTTGGCAGCATCTTCAGTTTCAGCAACAGCTGCGTCTTCGGTGCTCTCAGCTGCCTTTTCTTCACCGGCAGGTCCTACTGCTTCAGGCTCAGGCGCGTCGGCGACGGGGCTCTTATCTTCTGCCGGGTCTTCCGAGGTTCCGTCCTCTAGCGGAGGCTCTGCAGGGCCGTCTTCTAGGGACGCCTCTGGGTTTCCGCCCTCCTCAACAGGCTTAGGACTGCTGATCTCGGTAATGCCTTTCGAGGAATCTTCTTCTACTGGGACCTCGGCGGGCGGGTTTTCAACAGGCTCTGACTCATCGACTTCCCCTGCCACCTGTTCGGTAGCATCGGCAGCAGTGGTTTCAGGCGCCTTCTCCGCTTCCGGCACATCAACTGCAACAAAATCTTCCACGTCCTTCTCTTCGGCTACTGCTGCAGAGCTTTCCTTGCTCGTATTTCCCTTAACGGCCTTCTTGGCAGCTGCAGCATCTTTCTTCTCCTTCTCCTTCTCTTTCCTGGTCTTCTTGTGCGGCCGAACCATCAAGACCGGAGGCGCTTTAGCCTTGACCTCCTTCTCCCTTGCCTTAGCCTCCTGCCTCGCCTTCTCCTCCGCAGCTTTCTTAGCCGCAGCCAACTCCTTCTCCTTCTTTTTCGCAGCTTTGCTTTTGGCAGCGCCACCTTTCTTGGGACTGGTTGGCCGGCTGGGTTTCGGGTCTTGAAGGTCGGTTGGGAAGTGCACTGATTTCTCGCTTCCGCCGGGTGAGCTGGGCGGTTCTGGAGCTGGGGGCGGGACAATGACGATTTGGTCGTCATTGACGCCTGGTGGTGGTGGTGGAACGTCGATGATCACTACCATATCATCGTCGCCTGCTGGGCCTAGATCGACGACTATGACTTCTGCCGCAGGTTCGGCGTCAGCGGCAATAGGTTCAGCAGGTTCAGCTGAAGCTGGTGACGACTCATGCGGTGAAGGTGGAGGCACGGGTACGTCTTCTTGAACCACTTCAACATTCGCGGAATCCTGCTGCTCTTTAGGTGCGTCGTCCGGAGGCGGTTCAGAATCTAGGCTATCAGCGACTGGAGGGGAGTTGGTGTCGTCACTAGTTATTACTAGAGCTGGAGCATCGCCATCAGGGTTTGGATCCTCGCTGGCGGAGCTCTGTTCGGTTTCTTCATTGATTGAGATGCCGCCTTGGTCTTGATCGACAACGATGACAGAGACATCAGCAGCAACTGGGACGTCCGGCTGGATAGGGTCGAGACCGAAGTCATTAGCCTTCTTGTCTTCCGCCGGCTCTTCGACCTTCTCCGAGTCTGTCGGCGTTGTATCTTGCTCATCACCCTGCTCAGGGGATGCTTCTGCGGTTCCTTGAGTATCGTCGCCGGTCGCGATATTTTCCTCCGGCGCAGTCTCGGTCGGAGCAGAGGGTTCTGGCGCAGCGCTTTGCTCCAACGGTGCCTCTTCCGAAGTAATGAGAGCCAGCGGTGCATCCGGTTCTACCGCAGCCTCTGGCGGGGGCGGTGGGGCCGACTCAACCTCGTCTTCTACGTCTTTGGACGGGTCTGGTTCGTGTGCTTGAGGTTCTTGCTCTGGGCTACTTTCTTTAATAGTCTCTTCGGCTTCGGCTGTTGGTCCGTCCACCGTCGCATGAGTGCTTTCTACATCTGATAAGGTCAGTTAGTCAAGCGGATTATGACCACGCCTGGCAGAAGGCACCTACCATCTTCATCTTCCGTGTCCTCTTCTTCACTGCTTGAATCGATCATCTGAACACCTGGATGATGAAACACTGGCTGAGGTAATGCTAGCAACCGCCTTGGTCTGTTCCTTTGCTGTGACGCGCCTGACGGTGAAGAAGGCTGTAATTGACGCCATTGTTGGGAGGGTGATAGATCGTATTTTTCATACTGCTGTACTCTCTGGTGCATCGGTACTTGTCCGTCCGCTCGCGGCCAGGCCGTGGCCGATTTCGAGGCCGATTTGGCGTACGGATCCAGCCAAGGTGAGACCTGGACCTGCACGTATCGCTGCGTCGCGATTCTGGGATCCATTTTGCGTGTCCGCTTCCCGACGGCGATGTTTCTACATTGTAGGATATTCTACACACCCCATACTAAGATCTTGCCATTGCTGCAAAAACGAGAATGATGGGAGATGTGAAGTTATGAGGAAGATCAGCGCTCAACAATGAGATGATTTGATAGTGTAGGCGTGCGGAGCGACGAATAAGAAAGGGGTGATGATGAAAACCTCCAAGCTACGTCGTGGCTTGATGAGGGCGGCTCAAGGAGAGTGAACCAGCCGTGACTTGTCCTGAGACATGCAGAAAAGTCCAAAGAAAGGAAAGCTGAGGCAATTGATAACAAGGAGTTCACCACCCGAAGTCTCTACAGCCTTGAGGTCTCTCACCAGGGCTACTCCGTGCAGTCCCGGAAAGGCAGCAATGGGGCCTTGGCCGGTCATCATTGGAGCCACGTTAACGCATGCCTAAGGTATGCCTCACATTTCTCGTGGAGTCTAAGATGATGTAGGGCGCCGACGGCGTCTCCAGTCCGAGGCTGTTTCATGCGGCCTTTGTCGAAGAGCGTTACGGTGGCTGCATGCTAGACTGCCGTTGGGCAGTATCATGCGTTTTGGCCCACGGCAAATCTCCCACCGATAGGCTCACCCGGCGGGGATTTCGGGAACCATTGCAGGTGGCTCTGTTCCTGCTCCCGAGCAGAAGCAGCCCACGTGAACCATGAGGCCATTGGACAAGGTGGAGGAGAGGTGTTGGCAACTTGTGTGGGAGCGTTCACCTGTGACGTGTCTCTGGGGCTGTCAAACGGGAGGTTGTGAGCTGGAGAACAGGGGTGGCTTGGTTCGCTTCGGCGCGAGGCGCGGGCGGGCAATCCCGCCGATGGCGCCACCTTGGGGCAACACCCGCTCCTCCAGCTCTTCCGACTTCAAGCACGCGCCGCCTGGAGATAATGTACCGAAAGACGGGAGGGCTCAGAGTGACCTCTTGTAGCACGATGTAGGGCACGAGTGTGGTGACATGCTGGCTGTGGTGTCAGCCCCCACTGCGGCTCCGCCCGAGCACTGTACGAAGTAGATAGGACGGGCGACTTCCACAGATATGCGTGTGCGCCGATGAGCGACGGACGTCCGTCGGAGCTTTTATACTCGTACATAGACTTTGTTATCCACCCCCGCGCATAGATCGCTCTTTGTACCTGAAAGTGTATACCAGAGCCCGATCGTCTTCTGCTTTTACCGCCCAGCTAGACTTCATCGCCGCACACACAGATCGCTCCGGATGACCCATTTCTCTCCTTCTAGTACCTCCCTTCCTTCGTGTAACATGCAGTCCGCGCCATGCCTGTGCAACAAGGCCATACCGATCTCAAGTTCCACGACTATTGGGTCAGGCGGCGATTCTTTCTTGCTCCGTGATTTCTTCCCAGGTGCTGGATCTGGGTAGAACACCGTCTCGCCACCTATGCAGCCAGTAGCCGCAGAGGTGAGATACAGAAGGAGGGTCCAGGTGGTCCTTGCTTGAATCGGAGGCGTCCCAGGAATCGTCACGTTGTTGGAGTCGTCGTCTGAAGCTGTGTCAGCGTTCCTCTGCGTCGCTCGATCACATCACATTCACGGTGAAAACAGGTTACTAGAGCCCAAAGCAGAATCCAAACCTGTGATCGAACAGAAATGCTGCCATTGAAGCATCGCATCGCGCGCAAACAAAGTGAAGCGCGTCACCACATAGCAAAGCGCGGCTGAGAAGCGTCATGATAGCAAGCGACAACCTTGTAAAGAACGTTGCCAGAGAGCAAGGACGACCTACAATGCTGATCGAAAAACTGCCCTTTGCTATACCGATAAATCCTGATGTTCGGATTGAGACCTACCTGAACTAACTGAGCACCGCCCCAAGGCATCTCAAGAGGTATAACTCACGACTTCACCGCCCCATAGAGCTTGTCGGCTATCCTTAGGGATGGACAGCCCGTCGGTCTCCTCCAAGTTGCCCAGAACAAGATCTCTCAGTGCCGTGCCGCTCCATAATTGCTCTGCAAATGCGGGATCATCTATCTGGAAGCGATCATTGACTCTAACAGCGTCGCCTCTTTTAGGTTTACCAGGCGTCGTGGTCAGAGGCAGGGATGACAGGAAACTCGTATAGTTTTTACAAAGCGTAGAGGTCCAGAAATTGGCAATAGTGACGATATGACCCGCAAGCAGTTCATGCATGTGCAAATCTGCATCTGATAGCAGAGGGTGAAGAACTGGCCAGTTTGGCCGTGGCTGTTCAGCTCTTGGCGGCGCTTTAGATGGCGCACACTGGGTAGCAGCGTCTTTCCTTCTGCCTTTAGGCGGCATGCCTGGAGTGTTTGAGGGGATGCTGCCGTTCTCCTGTCTGAGCGGGCGGCGTGGTGATGAAACTATCAACCTTTGGTTGGACAACTGAAATCAGTGTACCTGAAGGTAAGTGGGGAGCTCAACCTTATTGCGACAACTACCTTCTGCGCTCGTAGTGAATAGCAGAGAACCTCCTTCAGTGTCTGTCCGAAACTCTTCAACTTTTTGGGAGTTTCAAATACCCCAGTTGGCGCTTGATGAGCCGGTGAAGTCGCAGACTGCGGAGAGACCCTTAAAATCCTGAAGGATCTGCCGAAAATGGAGTCGCCAAGATTTCTGGTCGGCGACTCATGTGCGGCCGCCATCGCCGAAGAAGGGCTCCCCTCTCAAGCCTACGAAGCCTACGAAGCCCGCTACGACAACTGTGCTGGAGTGCGTCCTTGCAGCGACTGGTGCACGGCTGACCAGTATCACGCGAACTGCCCAAACGCGCCCGGAAGGGCTGGAGTGCACCAGCAACAGCACCCGCAGCGCAATGCCGAGCGCGCGGAGATGGCGACGTTGACAGCAGAGCCACGCCTACCTCAGAGCGGAGGTCAGTTCCAGGAGGAGAGCAGTCTTCTTGGGATCCATGTTGCACCAGACCTGGATATTGGTGTCAAGCAAGACTTATTTCCTGCCCCAGAAAATGCCCGCGACGGGGAAAGAGCTACAACGAGCAGCGGTGTAGCTGCTCCAGAAACAAATGCCTTGCCACGCACAAACTCACCAGAAGAAGCGGCCGTTTCCCATGATGCGGAAACAATCGCAGCGACTACGGCGAATCAAACAAGCCTCTCGTCAATATCATCCTTACCGGATGCCGCACCCAGCTTGCCGGCCGGCGACACGGCTGTCACTCCCCAAGATCTCTCAGTCTCTGTGATTGCGCCTCTCACGCTCGCACACCACACCGTAGATACGCTCTGTCTGCCTGCCGATCCCAACTCCCAGACCGACGTATTTCAAAATGGTCTGCAGAACGGGATAGGACTGGAGACCGCAGTCGCCTCAAGGCTGGCAGGAGCATTCCCATACACCGCCACGGACGACCAACACATCTCGTCAACCGTTCCGGACCTTACGAACCTGTGTCAACCCTCTCTCGATACCCTGGCATACCAGACAGAAGCGGATTTCTACCAGGCCTCTGTGCCCGAGCTGCAAACCAACACAGAGCCAATGAAGGGCTTCGCGAGGCTCGACTTTGACGATGGACAGTTCTATATGACAACCTATTCAATAGAGCTCGGTCGAGATGTTCGAGCAGAAAGGCTGGTTCGCCAGCGGGCTACGGGATCATGGTCTGAAGGGAAGGCAAAGCACAAGAGAAAGTCGAGCTCGGGCGATGTCCCGCAGACGCCAGTGCAACTAAAGAGCGACGTCTATGAAAATGCTTGCCGTAGCCAGGTCAGCGAAAGCGGAGGTATCGTTGGCGCAGATGACGATAGTTTCAAGCCTATGCGCCGGAAGAAGAGCAAGAAATCCAAGTCCACCAGCTCGTCATCACAATGTCTATCGCGAAAAGATTCGACATACACCAAAGAGGAGCCGGAGTTCATGACCGTTTCGATGGCTAATATCATGGACGGTGGCGAAGCTTCACCTCCTGACGTAGCCGCGCTGCTTCCTGATCCCACAGAGTGCCCGCTGATACCCATACATCCGCCCAACATGCAGTTTGATTCGCGCACCCACTTCAAGGCAATCTCCAGGCGGCATGCCCGGATCAGCTACAACTTCACCACTCACTGCTGGGAGATGATGGTCTTGGGCAGGAATGGAGCGTTCCACGACGATGAGCTTTATGGGCCCGAAGAAGTCGCCAAACTGCACGATGGCAGCAGCATTCAGATTGCTGGGGTTTGCTTCACTTTCCGTCTCCCAAATACCACGTTGAGTGATGCAGAAGACCGCGAGGAAGGCGAAAGCGCTAGCGGTCGGATGAGTTTCGCTTTTGAAAATGAGAGAGGAGAGAGCATCGTAATGGAAGAGGACAGCGAGTCGGAGAGCCCATCGCCCCTGATCGCGCACAATCACTATTGGGATGATCCGATGGCCGAGCTCGACGAGGACCCAGATGGCGACTCAGAGGATCCCGAAGAGGACGACGAGGAGCAGGATGAGCCTGCCGAAGAGCAGCGGCCAGTCAAGGTCAAGCTGAAGCTACGAATGACGAAACCGGCCAAAAAGCCCGAGCCGAAATCGAAGAAAGATGCCAGGAAATTAAAGACACAGGTCAAGGCCCCTGCGAAACCACCATCGAAGTCCCAGCCGAAAGCCGCCACAAAAGAAATTTCGAAGGGTCCAGCTAAGCAGCCGAAAGAAGCAACGAAGGCCCCAGCTAAGAAGAAGCCAAAGGAGGTGGCAGTTGAGTCTGTCGAAGAGCCCGAGGACGCCAAGGACCAAGCGAAGGCTACCGATGAGATCAAGGGTGAGGCCGATGAGGACGCCAACGACAAATCGCCAGTACAATCTACCGAGCTCGTCAAGGGCGGAAGAGAACTCACTCCTGAAGAGGCTGCAAAACTGGGGCTTCCCGTTGGGACAATAATACCACCGAAGCGCAAAGGTCCCGGGAGACCGCCAAAGGATGGCATCATGTCGAAGCGCGAGAAGGCATTGCTGGCAAGGCAAGCGAAAGAGGCGGAAAAGGCCAGGAAGCTGGGCATCGATCCAGCGACATTGCCCCAGCCAGTAGCCAAGCCTAAAGTCAGCAAACCTCGCAAAGAGTCCGATGGTGAGACGAACGGTCAGAAGCGGAAAGAAGGCACGGAGGGTGTTGATGGTCAAGCGTATGTCTATTCCCTCCCGTGCACCAGTGATGTCAGGCATTTTCTCGTTCCAGTCTGCTAACGGGTCGTGCAGAGAGGATGGCGAAGACGGAAGCCCTTCGGACGAGAAGAAGGCTGCGAAGGCCGCGAAGCCAGCACGTTCGCCTTCGCCAGAGATGAAACTGGAAGACTATAGCGAGGAGCAGTTGCAGCGGCCCAACGCAAACTATGTCGTCCTAATCCACGAAGCTATTAGCAACTCGAAGAACGGTGCAATGAACCTGCAGCAAATCTACAGCGCTATCGAACACAAGTACCCGTACTATCGCTTCAAAACCAGCACCAATGGATGGCAAAGTAGCGTTCGACACAACCTCGGCCAGAACCCCGCATTCAAGAGGGTTGAGAAGGAGGGCAAAGGCTTTTTGTGGGGGGTCGATCCAACGGTCTCGATCGAAAAGGAGAGGAAGAAAAGGGCGACGCCTCCACCACCTCCACCCCGGCCACAGTATCCGCAACAAATGTCGTATCCCGCAGGCCAGTACCAGGTGATGCCGCCTGGCGCTCACCCTGGAATGCCCGCTTACGGCCCTTACGGCAACCAACACGGTCAACCGCCGCGGCCACCGCCTCCAACACATGGACAACCTCATGGTCTTGCCGCACCACCCAAGACATCATCTTATGCTTCGCCCTACGCCTCGGCTCCTCTACCATCAACCTCACAGCCTCCGCCGCCTCCCCACTCGCAAGTGCGTGCACCCAACGGCGCATATCCACCCTACGGCCCGCCACGGAATCCAAGCTACCCGTCGCAACCGCCTCCTGCGCCGTCCGGTCAACAACCCCAGTATCCACCCCGCCCTTCTCACACCCCACCTGGCGTCCCTCCGCCTCCGACGCAATCAACCTACACGCTCGAGAACCTCAACACAACCCTCACGTCCTTCAAGGAAGCCTTCCTGAAGAGCGCCGGCCCGAAGCAGCTTGCGCACAACGAACGCCTCGTCGACACCGTCATCAAGCGCATCCTGCATCCACGGGACTTCCAGAGCCCGCCCATCGGCGAAGAAAAACAGGTCCTCGATGTGCTGAATGGCCTTATCGCTTCTCAGCACAGAGCTGCCGCCACCAATGCGCCTAGTGCGGCTCAGCCGCAGCCGCCTATCCCGCAGGCTTCGCAATCTTCGCAACCTTCGCAATCCGGTGTGCTACTGCTGCAGATGCCCCAGCCGCAAATGCCACCTACACCGCCTGAACAAGCCCCTGCACAACCGGCGGCCGTCCAAGCGCAGACGTCTGCCGCACCCCAGGCCGAAGCCTCGCAGCAGCGCGCAGCCGAGGCCGCCCAGTCCGTCGTGACGGATGCGGCACCGTCCGAACCTGCCGTTGTGGCTGCTCCCGCGACCGCTCCGTCCACAGCCATAGAAGCCGTAGCCGTGGCGGCAACATTGGCGGAGCCATCGGCGGAGTCAGCGAATTTGACGGGACGGAACGGCTCAGCGACGCCGGTTGCGGGTGCGAAGCGGGGTTTGGAGGAGACGGCGTCGGCGCTGGAGGGGTCGGAGGCGAAGAAGGTGAAGGTTGGGGAGGACTAGGATTGGGGCTGTGGACTTCTATCGTCGCTTACCGTACGTGCGACGACTTCTACGCATGCATTTCAAGAGCTTGGGATAGGACGGGATGGACTGAGCTGAACTGCTGGCTTTGAGCGGAATTAAAGGATCGGCAATGGGCGCGGCGTTTGGAGGGTGATTTTGAGCGTTGTCGTTATTCGCTGATGCATCGTGATGGCGTTATGGGTTCGGGGCATTTTGGAGCGCCCGTTGCTCATGTTTCGTATTATCACGCATCAACTACTAGACGTTGGGGCTACTGTGCTTAACAAGCCATGAGGTCTGGCTATCGCATATGCTGCAACGCTACATAGAGGGAAAAAGTAATGATTCTGTCTTGAAACCCTTCTCTCTGTAACGCCGCGAGGAGACCAAACCCTCCTACTTGCCTCCCAAACACCGGTGACCGTCTGCACGCGTACCTACAGGGAAATGCGTGGAAAATTCGAGGCCATGCAGAACAAGAAAAGCGACCTGGAGGCCACTAAGGCGCGTAAGCGGAGGAAGCAACCTCACATGGCCATCTCGGCCTGCAGCTTCCGCAGCTCCTCCTCTTCGTCCTCTTCTTCCGCCCTTGCTGGCGCTTTGCCTTTCGCTGCACAAAACCCGTTAGCACCCACTTCACCACCAACACAGAAATGGGAAAACTCACGCTCTCCCTGCGCCACCGCCGGCAGCCTATGCACCTCATCCGCCACGGGCACGGTCCCGGTCCTCAACATCTTATTATCCAGCTCTTCCTGCTGGAGCTCCGCCAACTCATCCTCCAACTCCGCATCGTCGAGCGCCTGCGTGCCAACCTGCTGCGTAATCGCCTCGCCGATTTCCTCGCCGATCGCGTGCTGCTCGCGCAGCTCCTCCATCGTCTGGTCCACTTTGTCGATCGTCAGCCCGCCGTGGATCTCCTTCATGGCTGCGGAGGCATTCTTCATGGCGTCGAGCGTCTCCTTGTTTATGTTGGCGGTCTCGATGGAGTAGATTTCGCGCTCTAGCGTCATTATTTGTGCGCTGGTTTGCTCGAGGGAGTGCTCGAATTGCTTTTTGCGCCGGAGGGCTTGTTTGGCGGCTGTGGAGAAGGGAGATGGTTAGCCAGGACCCCATGTGGACGCATAATGGCTCTGCAGTGCAGAGGGCTTGCACAGCCAACAGCAAAGCCTTTTCCGCTCTGAGGACCGGGATGGCGAGTTTGGGCAGAGTAGACCTACCATTCTTATTCGAGCTGACGTATTTCCGCGCAATGTTGTCCTGCTCCTCCATTTGATTCTGTAGGTGCTTTTCTCGCTTCGACAGCATCTCTAGCTGTCCTCTCAACTGTAATATGGCGTTCTTGGGCGCATCCTTCTTCTTTGCCGCTCCTCCGCCAAACCAGCCGAGTCCCCATCCTGACATCTTGCTGGTGTATGGCTGCGTATGGTATAGGACTGTGAAGGGTGTGGGTACGCTCGCCTGTCTGTGGCCAGCCGTGGAGTCTGACCCTGGGTTACGAGCAGCTGGGGCTTTGGCTCGCTCTAGCGAATCTAGTGGGGCGCTTTGGGGGTAAAAGTTCAGAGGCTGCCTGGGTGAACTCCACTGGAGATGTATGCCTGATCCTTGGGAAACTGAGGGCGAGTGCGGTAGTAGGGCCTGGGTGGGTGGATATGCGGCGTGGCTGTGGTGGTGTCAGTTGGGTTCTCTGGATGCCTCGCTCAGTCGGCGGATGATGAAGGTGACGCTGGGCTATCGAAAGGCGCTAGTGCCGAGAAGAGCTTAGACTGGAGTTCCGGCACGTGCCCGAGATACGTCGCCGACTTCCGCTGTGACTCTACCCCCAGGGTGTTCTACCTTGGTGGAGTCGGGAATGGCTTCTGGTTCAGACTTTCAGGCTCCTTAGTCTCGAGCAATGTCTAGGGTCCCCCCTGCAAGCCGCCTGGTCTTCTTATCGGACTTGAATCACATCGAAGCGGGGGAGAAAGTTCGCTTCTTGGGATGGTAAGGAAAAGTAAATGCACACGGAATGCTACTTTTATGCTAAATCGCGATCACCAGTGTTGAGGACTACATCGTCCCCTCCGGAACGCTTGTTCTGAAGCACAACTATCCACCTACTTCATCTCCGATCATGGCGCATGTCAACATCAACCATGTCCTGGAGTCCATCAAAAGCACGGAGATGCAAACCGGCGCCTGGCTCAATGTCATCGGTTATGTCGAGAAGTCTGCTGTGGACAGGCCAACCCGCAAACTTAGCCGAAAGCAACGTGCCAGCCAGCAAAATAAAGTTCATGTCCAAGCGGTCATGCTTTGGTCGGCTGGCGCCGTTAAGGTTGATGCCTATGAGCGTGCAGTAGAACAGCGGGAGCTGGCTGCTGGATCCGCTGCTGTTGAGAATGTGTAAAAGCCTCCTGTACCACCAACACTTGAAGAAGTATTGAACGTTCGATTCAACTTTTCTCGCGGGCCGATTCGCATCTTTGCTCGGCTGTATCCTGCCGACTGCTTCCTCTCTGGCCACTCCTGCGCAGAGTCGCCAGTTGCTTCCGGGAGCGGGTATTGAGCCGCTTCTGTGGACTGTTCTCTTGGCTTTCCAAGGACAAAGCACGTCATGCAGCAGGTGCTGTGGACACCAGCATCGTTGGTTCAATAAACACACAGTGCGTGAGCGTAATTCAACATCTGGCACCGTCTGATACAGTGCACGTGATTGCGGGTGGCTTTCTATGTCTTACAGACGTATCCTGTAGTAAGAATCTGCAATACAGCGAGTGGACGCAGAAACTGCCAATAAATCCATAGCAAGCAATCATCCGATACAGCCATTGCAAGGTCTGTACACTGCACTCAAATGGTTTCGTATACTGAGCTCAAGAGTCGTCCTTTCCATCCGACCAAGCAAGGCTGATGGGGTTTGCCTGTAAGGTTGAGGCTGAAGCCCTGCCGCCTTGGCACCAGGGCACTTGTGTATCTGCATCATGTTCTAACCGCAACAACTTCGCGACCTTCACGATTACCACGAGGTGTATATGTCAGACGATTGCAAGCGGCTTGAACTTCGTGGCTTAATATTGCCCACCCGTGGTCCTTGGACAGCAAACACGACCCGAAGATGGATGATACCGCTCAGGCTGCCACTCCGACATCGGGAGAACAACTTCAGCGACCCTCGGGACGATGCTTCAGCTGCATAAGACTGGAGAGCATTGTCGAAGGTGACACCTTTCGCAAATGGGAGCATCATAAGAACTTTGCTGCACTTGATGAATCCGCAGAGCTGGGATGTGATATGTGTAGGCTCCTAAGGTGGTGTTTTTTATGCGAACCTTCAGGTTATGTCATGTCTCCGGAGGTTCCACCATTTGCGTGGTCCACTCTTATGAAATCGACTGATCCTGTGTCCGTCTATTCGACAGATCCTGTGCACGCCTATTCGACAGTCGACCAGCAGGTAAACATAAAGTTCTCATTGGGTAATATCCGTCCCATGTGGACGTCGACATCGAAGAACGAGGACTGTAGCGCTGTTGGTAGTGGTCGGGTATGGAGTGAGTCTATCATCTTTAACAGTTGTCGTCTCCATACTTGACTCACAACAACGTAGAATTCCTGCCTGGGGAAGAAACTGAAGATCTAAACCGAATAATTCGCCAAGCACGAAGATGGATAGAAACATGCCGCCACTCCCACCGTGAATGCGGAGAACGTACGACGTATGAAGAGCATTCAGAAGTAAAGATTGAGAACCTCCCTACTAGACTAATCGACGTTGGCACATCCGACGGAAACATAGAGCCACGACTCTGCCTGTCAAGCGAGATCGAACAGCAATTCTTGATCAATGGGGGTTTAGTCGCAACTGGAGTGTCCTCTTCTTATCAATATCTCATCTTGAGCTACTGTTGGGGCAACCCCGCCGCTGTCGCCGTAACGACAAAGACCAACCTCAACGCAAGATTGAGCGGAATACCGCTCCGGACACTCCCGAAAACTATACGGGATGCTATTCAGATCACCCAAAAACTGCTTGTTCGCTACCTTTGGGTGGATGCCCTTTGTATTATCCAAGACGACACGTCCGACTGGGCTGCAGAATCAACACGGATGGGCCCATATTACGAAAATGCCTTGTGTACGATCGCAGCCACCGGTGCCGCTGATACTACTGAGGGCTGCTTCTTCGAGAGACGGAGCTTACGTTTTGACGTTCGACCATGCCTTCTTAACCTGCAGCGAACGCACGGAAGTACATCTGTTTGGGTTTTGCCAGTTGAAGTCAGCTGGTCCCACGCAGTCAATCGGGCCAGGTTGAATATGCGAGGTTGGGTCAAGCAGGAACGGGTGCTCTCACCGCGGACACTTCATTGGTCTCAAGTCGGTGTATTTTGGGACTGCAACGGATTGGTTGCATCAGAGGAGTACCCAGAAGGGCACCAAGACATGTTGTACGCCCATCACGTTTACCGGTACGACAAACTCCAGCATTTCTGGAAGCACACCAACGAGGACCTGTTGTGTACGGTATGGCGTGTGGTTGCTATCCAGGTGTGCGATGCTAACTTCACCTACCTGACTGATCGTTTGGCGTCGATTGCAGGTCTGGTGAAGAAAATACAAGAGCGAACCAATGATCAGTACTATGCTGGCATGTGGCACAGTACCCTACCTCAACTCCTAACGTGGAAACGCGAACGCTCCAGACAACTTACAAACTCGGAAAACGTCAACCTTTACATAGCACCCTCATGGTCCTGGGCATCGTGCGTTGACGGCAGGCTTAACTGGAGCGTTCTGTCATGGTCTCTTTCTCGTAACAAACCGATGCGCTATGTGACTGAGATCGTTTCCGTCGCGGTAACGCCGATAGGTCGCGATTTCACAGGTCCAATCTCTCACGGCAGGCTCACACTACGTGGTCCACTGCAGTGGGCGCCTCTTACTCTGATGTCGTACGAGGACAGGCGTCCTGGGTGGGGGGAGTACGACCGGTTCTCCTTCTTCGTATTGCGCACGGATGGACCGGAATATCAAGAAGCTGGCATGATCTTCTTTGATGGCGAACCCAGGCTTAGCGAGGCTCCAAATACTAAGCTGCTGATGAAAAACGTATGCCTCCTGCGGCACTGTGTCTACAGTTTAGGTTTCTCTTCCAGCAGGGCTTCCGGAGCTTTAGTTCTTGACCCTACGGGTGCGGCTGAGAACGAGTACACACGTATAGGTTGGGCTGAACTCTACGATCCGAACTGGTTCGAAAATACAGACGTAGCTACCGTTAACATAGTCTGATTACAGCTTGAACCCGGAAAAGAGCTGATAGCGTCATTATGGCGATGGTGACAGCCTCTGATATATGGACTGTCTCCCAAGAGAAGCTACAGAACCTTCTTCCATCATCGTTGCAGCACGCGGAGCTTACAGGTGAATCTGCGTCAGGCGGCAGAAGCACTTCGTATCGCTCATCGAGTTATGGGACGGACGCATCTCGACGCTCTAGCGGTCTCACATAACGATTGTGGCTATCAGGCACTGCGATTCCATGCCGGTTGGCCTTATCTCGCAAGTTATCGTCCCCAAACAAGGCGGCAACACCCTGGGGTCATAGCGTCCTGGGCTACCAATGTCAGGGCACAGCAAGATTGCGCATTGTCCTGTCCAGCGTACATGAAAAACGCTCTTTGGCTCCAACGCATCACCTGCTAAATTTGACATGACCGTCAACGGGAGATCAAACAGAGGCATTTAACCTACGAATGGACCTCAAAACCATCATCGCCTTCGAACATACCCACTCCCGATTGCCTCAAACGAACGGATGGCGGGTTGGATACACGGAACCACACCGCAAAGCTTGAGCGCGGCTGAAACTGCGTTCGGCGTCTCGCTCCTCTCAGCTCCGCAATCCGGAAACCTTTCGATCTTGCAAATGGCGTCAACCGCGAGTGCGGTATGAACATCTCGCGCCGAAACTCTAGGCAGATGGTGAAGGTTGTTGGAGTTAATGAGTTTGATTGCGTAGAAAATGCTGTCAAGGATCAGCAACAACGCATTCTGCGCTCTTAACATTCCCCCGTTCGCCGCTGGTGTTAGCAATCGTTGCAGTGAGAACGCACCGTGTCCTTTTCGAAAGTCTGGTACGAATCCAGAACACCGGGCCATTAATCATTGCTTCCACTCCACTTCCTTACCATCACGTCATGATCAGTCCCACTCCTCAGCCTACTTCGGGCGGCAGATATAGCCAGCCCGCCGAACCTTCCCTCCATCCACCGGCACGACCTTCCCCGCCATCACCAGAACAATAGTTCTTACTTCTAAGATGAAGTTTTTCACCCTCATCCTCCTCGCCCTCCCAGCCGCCTACGCCGCCGTCATCGCGGCCCCTGACGCCGGCACCAGCGCTCTCGCTGCCCGCGAAGCAACCGCAACAGCAGAAGCACACACCCTCATACCCCGCAAGACATGCAAGCGCGAGCGGAGGTTCCGACCGGATCGTCATGGCGTCTGCGTTGACGCATCGAAGCCGGATGCTTGCCAGGGAGGCGATATGTATCAGGAGGATTGCCCGGGGGTCCAAGTTTGCTGCATTATTGATGTGAGTTCTCCGTGAGTGTATTGGGTTCGAAAGCGGGGCTGATGAAATGGGTAGCATTGCCATATCAACTGCTAGAAGCGCAATACTGAGCTGGTTGTATAAAGGCGGAAGGCGAACGGGCTGCCCTTGATGTGATCAGGGGGCGAGTACGGAAAAGCTTGGGACTTTGATGTGGTTCAGAAGACTCGTGTACACCGGCAACACGGAAGTGGTGACTGGACATAGAAGTCAATGAACTTCGAGAAGTTTTGCAGATCTCTGATTCTCGTGAATCTACAAGCCCTTTACTCCCCAGCGCCATCACTCAATGGCTGACCTTCTAGAGCACTTCTCGTATACAGGTACGATGAGATTCGAGTACAATGCGCTAGACATGCTCGCCGACGTGCAGGACGGATCATCCGGGCATATGATCACTATATCCCTGGCTGATGCTGAAGCGCTTGCTTTTGCGCAGCTCATCTGCAGGACAAATGTTCTCCGTCCTCCATCGTTCTTGCTCTGCGGCTCGTTGACACAGATTCTGAAGTCTTATCAAGCACCGGCTAGTGCCGAGGCTTGGCTGCATGGTGCAACGGGAAGGGGGGCCGCGTGGCTGATCGTGGTCTCTGCTTCACGCGGCTGTCTCATGGAAAGTGTGGCGCGACAAACAGGCTAGAAACAACGTCACGACTCCAATCAAAGACAGAATGGGGAGGCGTTTGCGGGGAGATGTTGCGGGAGTTGTGTACGGGAAAGAGTTCATGGAGGGCAGACCGGTTGCTGGAGGCATGGCACGAGTCAAGCACCCGTGAAGCATTGGCTTTGCTTTCCTCTTTCCTTTTTAGTAACACGTGCTTTCATCTTTCTTGATTGACGGACGGTGAGTGTTTAGGCTAGCATGACTAGTTTACTTTTTCGGACAATCTGGTTTCCAGCGTTTGCTTGCTTGCTTTGATCAACCTTCCACCATCCAGCCTTCTCGTACTGCATTGCACAAATCATAGCAAACTCAGCACCTCGCCCATAATGCGTCTACCAGCAGTAGCTGGAGCCCTCGGCCTCGCTGCCAGCTTGGCCGCCGCCATCCCCACAATCTCCACCAAAGGTTCCAAGTTCTTCACTTCGGAGGGTGACCAGTGGTTCATCAAAGGCACAGTTTCTCCCACGTGATTGAATAGCATCAAGATTAACAGTGTCCCAGGCATTGCATACCAACTTGTACCCGACGATCCTCTCATTGACAACGATCAATGCCAGCGAGATGCTTCCCTCATGCAGGAACTCGGCGCCAATGCCATCCGCGTCTACCACGTCGACCCAAACGTTAACCACGATAGCTGCATGTCCACATTCGAGGAGGCCGGCATCTATCTGTTCCTGGATCTCGATACGTTCGATACACAGATCGAGCAGGTACGGCCGGACATGTATCTGACTCGGGAGTCACGTGCTTACTGACCGTGATGCAGAACAATCCTCACTGGAATGAATCACAGGTAGAGCGCTTCTCAGCCGTAATGGACGCCTTCCACACCTACGATAACCTTGCTGGCTTTTTCGTCGGTAATGAAGTTATCACGATGAGTCCGTGTTCCTCCCTTCGCGCCCCAAGGCCTGAATCCAGCTAACCCTCCTACACCACCAACAGGCAATGGTTCCGCCTCTGCTGTCTTCATCAAGGCCGCCATCCGCGACATGAAAGCCTACCGCGACTCCCGCAGCTACCGCCAAATCCCCATCGGTTACTCCGCCGCCGACATTTCCAGCATCCGACCCATGCTCCAAAACTACCTCGCCTGCGGCTCCAACGCCTCCGAAGCCCTCGACTTCTTCGCCCTGAACGCCTACGAATGGTGCGGCAACACCACCTACCGCGAGTCCGGCTACTCGCACCTGACGCAGATGCTCATCGACATTGACTACCCCTTACCAATCTTCTTCAGCGAGACCGGTTGCAACACCATCCGGCCACGCACCTTCGCCGACCAAGCCGCGATCCTGGGGCCGGAGATGACGCCCTACTGGTCCGGCGCGCTCGTCTACGAGTGGATCCAGGAGATGAACAATTACGGCCTCATCAGCTACGGGCCGCAAGTCGAAGCCACCGCTTCTGGAGCGCCGCCGGATGGGTTCACGCGCTCGGGGACGCCGACGCCGGTACTGCCGGACTTTACGAATTTGCAGAGTCAATGGGCTACGCTGTCGCCGGAGGGTGTGAGGGTGGATCAGTATAGCCCTACCTTGACGCCGCCGCCGTGTCCGGAGGCTACGCCCGGCCAGTGGGAGGTTGATGGGGATGTGGCATTGCCGACGATCGGGCAGGTGCTGGATGCGGCAGGGAGGTCGAGCATTGGTGGCGTGACGGGTGCGGCGACGGGGTCGCAGGCTGGAGCGAGTCCAACTGGAGCAGCTGTACGTAGGGAAGTTAAGGGTGGCATGGCCGGGCTTGTGGGTGTAGCTGCTGGAGTGGTTGCACTGCTGTGATAAATTTGGAGTCATGTGTGGGATTGTCCAGTCTTGCATCTTGGGGATTTTCCTCTTCTGTGGCATTGTTCAGGGCGTCGGTGGCTCATCATCCGTGACGATATCCTGTTGTCAGATGCATCTAGCGTAACGTGAGCATGGGTTTGGCGTGGATACGGAACCGTGGAAAGGCGTTTGAAGGGGCGTCTGAGTTCAATCTATCCTTAAGGAGGGAACCGAATAAAGTTATGTTGTTCCAAGAGCATGAACGTGTCAGAGAAGCTGAAAACTTACATACGATGAGCATCACACTTTGAGAGACTACATTCATCTGGACACTTGGCTTTTCTGCCGACGTCAAATGTCGACAGGATTCTTTTCAGATAGATAAAAGTAAAGCTTGGGATGCGAGTTGGGCTTTGGAAAGGGAATTAAACAAACAATGGCACTCAGAGACGACCGGCGGGGTGAGTTCAACAGCGCGCTGGCAACTGACGTGTTTTCGGTGGCTGCCACCTGTGTTCGTGCCGGCATGCGAAGTGCTCCATGAGCTTCGTGCAGCATGTTGCAGTTATCTGCGGCAGCCTATATGCACAAAGGCTGTCCCATGGACTGAGAATGCCTTGTAGCCTTCTCGTAGCTCAAGCCCATCTCTCAACTCCCAGTTCCGCCTCCGGCTGCGGTACAGCCGCTTGCGACGTTCCACGATGCCACAGCTCTTGCCGCATTTCGGGGGTCATCTTCAGTGCTTCCTCAACCCCCCGTCTTCCTCACTTCCTTCTTCTCTTTCTCCTCCATCTCCACCCGCTCCTCCCAAACACACCTCTCACACATACAATCGCCCCCAAGCGCACCAGCTGCCCACTCTCTCCTCTCCCCCACGTCTAAGTCAATATCGCAATAGTGCCCCACCACCTCCTCACCCTTTCTGAGCCCCGGCCTCTCCCTGATCTCTCTGCCCTTCCAGAGCACCCGCTGCTCCCTGACAGTGAACTTCATACTCCCCTCCCACACCCAACTGACATTCGGATCGCAGGAATGGTTCGCAAGACACCAAAGCGGATGGACGGCGCCGACGGCCGGCCTTCCATCGGCGCTCTGACGCGCTGAGGCGGTGCCGCGAAATTTGGCGTACAGGGTATTGAGGACCCAGGTGTCGTATTTGGTGCTTTCGAAGATATTGACGTTCATCTTTTCGAGGAAGTGCAGGGGGTGGAGGATGTTGTGGGTGAAGGAGAAGGGGAGGGTTTGGGGGATCCCGCGGAAGGGGTCGGGGCTACTGTGAGGAGACGTCCAGACCTCTGAGAGGGTCAGGGAGTGGTAGTCGCCCCATATGAACTTGACTTCTGGAAGATCGAGAGGATGGATGTCCTGGGTTTCTGCCATTGCCAGCGCACGGCAGAGGAGAAGGGAGTACAAGGCATCTGCCGCACCCGCTGCTGGCGCGTCCTTGGCGATGGCGTCGGCGTCTGCACCGCAGATCGCTGGATGATAGGCTGAGACTGCGAGGTCGTGGCATGTCTGCGAGCAGAAGGGTGTGTCGTCACAGTCTTCGCAGTAGATGACGCCTTCTGCGGCAAGCGCTGTGATTGGCAGTGCTGCACTGCAAGCGTCACAGAGGGGAGAGTCTGAGCGAGCGGAGGCAGTCAGGAGGGAGCGTTCGTCGAGAATCGTCTCGCCTGGAGAGATATCCTCTTTCGCAAAAACCCCAAGTTGGGTGACCGTCTTGGGTACTTCCGGTGGACCTTCGGGAGACGTTGTTAACAGAGGAAGACTAGTAGCCCGAACTTCTAGCTTCGGAGCAACCTCCACCATCTGCTCATTCAAAAGACGCAGTGAATTTTCAGAACAGCGGTCTGGTTCGTGATCGTTCCAAGGGTAGAGTTCGCGGCGGACGAGGCCGCGATCAGGATAGTCTTCGATATTCATGTCCTTCTCTTCCCAAGTAATGCCACGGTTCTCGAAATACTGTTGCAACTGATGACGGATCTCTTGGTCGAGACGACGAAGGATACTGTTCTCTGTATGGGCTTGACAGCCCCTCTTACAGTACTCAAGAGCACTCTTTAAACATCCGCAGGCCATTAAGCTCTCTGTGAGCTGGATATATGCCGTTCCACTCCATTGCTTTTCCGCAAAAGCCATCGCATCCTGGGCCAGAGCATCCGTAACACCATCATCTTCATTAACCACAGGAGCATTAGCTTCAATCTGTAGGGACTGTTCGGCAAGCGGCCTAGCCCCATCCTTAGCCTGCCTTATGTCCGCTTCCGCTGCCTCTACGACCAGCTCGTGGTATTCACCAGACTCGTCCGACAGCTCGTCCACCAGCAGGAGAGCCTTATAGGCCTCACCAGCACATAAGTCTGGATAACCAAGGTTTGCATAGGCTTCGGCTAGCGCAAGATGATTTGAGATGCTGTATGGCTTCTCTGCTGAGTTTTCTCGCAGGGTCTCCAGATTACTGAGGAGCGCTTCTAGACCGTCTTTCCTCGATTTGATAGATACCACCGGACCATCTGGAATCCCATCAGTTTTGGAAAGACCAGAGTCTGCCTCTTGAAGCAGATTTACGGGCGCTTTTGCGTTGTTGCTGCCATCCGCACCAACATTGCTGCCGGATGTTGCGCCAACGCTGCTGGTGACCCCATCATCGCGTGATGAATCTTCCACGGCATGGAGTCCGCGAGTGGTTGGAGAGATTGTAAGCCCGTTCAGCGTATCATTTACGCTCTGTAACGAGTTTTGTGCACTCATCTCCGAGAAAGTTTCTGGCACTGGAAGTCACTGGGTTTGATAGAGCTCGCTAATGGGCCCTGATCGAGGCTAGCTGAGGAACCAGGGTGTTTTCAAGCAGACTTTCACGTGACACAACCTAACGATGGCAAGACGATCATGGAAGAGCGTTATAGGTTTTTAAATGCGCCACGTTAGCGTCACATCATACAGCATGCGTACGAAATACTAAGGTACACCAGGCATAATATAATCGCAGTTGGTGACTGGCACTACCATTACCCAGCGTTTCTGAGATGATCTACTTCCGCACGGTGATGGACAAGAAGACTCTATCTCGATTGTGAACTGAAGGTGATGCGACCGCTCTCTCCCACACCTAGTGAGATCACTCTTTGGTCACACTGCTGACTCTCGGTGAGAAGCGTGATACCAGAAATGGAAGCTCTGTCAGAAGGGGTGGCTGTATCCGGACCAAGAGTGGCGACATTCGTCACCTGCAGAACCATTGGACTGCTCGTGGCTGTAACCGGTGAGGCCAAATTCCATTCTGCACGACATAATTGCGGGTTGGAACTAGGCAATATCAGCTAGATTCAGCTAAATCGGCACAGAAGAGAGACCACGGGATGGGTTGCAGCAACGCGAATGTAACAGATTGATACAGCAGAGGGCACAGGTGAGCGGATGCACTATATAGTGCAGAAAATAGTGTAGACGAAGTAGCACTTACTCCTCGTCCATGGATTCTGTCTGCAGACCTCCCCCTTGCCGCCCCAAGAGCGCAGAATAGAATTTCTCGTAAGCTGAGCGCTTCGAATCCGGCACCGCCAAACACACCTTCGCTACACCAACTGCACCGCATGGATGTGAAGTAGCAGTCTCATCCACCGGTACCCGCAACTCCCGCGGCGTGAGGTCATGGCACCAAAACGGCACCTCCCCTCTTTTAATGTCGCCAGAAGGGAACGTGACATTCCACTTGACTTCCTGGCCATCCGCTCTGCGCCTGCCACCTTCCTGAGCAGCTCCATAGCTGACCGCCAGTGAGTCCCGCTGATTCAGCTTCTCCAATCGCGATCGTACAATCTCGACGTCCTGCGGATCTGACGAAGTAAGGGCCCAGTCGATGAAGCCGTAATCTTTGTCGCCCCACCAATGGCCTTCACGGTTGCTGGGGGAGTCGTCAATGAAGGCGATGAGCTCGATGTACGTCCCGTCCTTGAATACGATGAGCTTATTCTCTGTTTTGTTGTGTGCATGGCGACCGCCAGGCGTGATAGTAAAAACGTCCGTGATCCAGGATGGAGGGTCAAGGATGTTCTTGTGTGGGAGCTGGATGATTATATGGTCAAGTGCTGGTGGGGGATCCATGTTGTGGTTCGCCTCCGTAATTATGGACCGGCAACCGATAAGGCTTGGAGCAATGGTACGCAAGACAAGAGTCGTGAACAGGAACAAGGAGCCTTCAGTGTTCACAAAAACAGAAGTAGAAGATGTCTGTTTAAGTGGAGAGATGGTTCGGATGGCATTAAAGTCGGTTAATACGCTAGCGGCGTGACTCAAGATGGCTCCACCCGCAAGAGTGCACCGTCCTTGCTTTACCGCAGTACTTTGTAAGTAAATCCGATGTGTGCTGCCACTCTCTTATAACAGATACGAAGGATGACTCAAATGCGGGGTAGTGGAGCGTTCAAAAACCGCAAAGAGGAAAAGAGATGGCACGTGACAAAGCTCTCTCTTGAAGCTCGCTAGAAACGGAGCCAACAAGACGGAAAAGAATATATGTGCGTTTTCTAAATCAGGAAAAACAACGTGTAATCTAGACTTGTACTACCGTCCCACTGCGCCATACCAACACAGCCCAAGCACTGCGCCAAGGACAATCGCTGCGGCAGGCGGCACTTTGAACCAAGCAGTTTCAGCGTACGTGACTGTAGCCACAACGACCCACCAGGGCTCAAGCGCCAGACTCTGCCCCTGACTGGCTTCCGGAGTGAGATAACCAATCTCCCACAGCCGGTATACAGCGGTGAAAACCAGTCCCACAGCTGTAGCATTGATGCCTCTTAGGAGACTGACGACCGTGGCTCTGGTCCGAAGTACGCGCCAGATGCTCTGCATACCCACTGCGATTGCAAGGCCTGGTAGAAATATGCCGATGTACCCCAGGAGAGCGCCTAGGACGGTCGGAAGCCTGGAGGGTTCAAGTGCGAGTGCGCCGAGATAGACACCGAAATTGAAGTTCGGCCCAGGAAACGCTTGTATGATGGCTAGACCGATAAGGAAGTCTCTGCTGGAAACCCAGCCTGGTTCGACAACGTATTCGCGGAGGAGAGGAATGACAACAGGACCGCCACCAAAGATTACGGTACCGGCCAGATATACGTTCGCGAAGAGGTCAAGGGCAAGCGGCGGAGTGTCTAGAGCGCCACGAGCGGCGAGGATTGCTATAAAAGAGGCGAAAAAAGCCATGACAATAAGTAGACCCCATTTTACGCGGATAGCATGGGAATTCATGTCCGTATGTAGCTGTTCTCCAGTGCTCACAGGTTGATCTACTGGAGGCATTTTGTTTGAAGAAGAAGCGAGCGGTACTGTGATGCCTCCGGAGGTGTGAGCTTTCCCTAAAGATGCAGCAGCACGCTTCTGTACTCCATCCGACGCCGAGGTCTGCTCCTCAAGAGGGATACTGTCAGTCGCGGTACTCTCTTCGGCCTCTCGTTGCGGGTTGGACCTCGTTTGCTTGAGTTTCGCCTGGAATTTTCCGATCCTCTGACGCAACCAACAGTCCCAGGTTACTGTCGCAAGACCCCCAATCAAGATGATGGCAGGGAAGTACCAAAGAGCATTATAACATAAGCCAGCGCACGCTCCAAGAATGACCAATACGCGGGTGATCTTGTCTTTGATGGCCTTGTCCGCAAGCTGTACTGCAGCTAGCGCTATGATCCCGACGGTCGCGGCGTTCAATCCTGATAAAAGCGCGTAAACAGGGCCAGGAAGCACCTCACTGATCCGCTCAACACCCAGCGACAGCCCGTACATGCCGATTGCACCTGGGAGGCTCCAGAGCAGGAAAGCAGCCAAAGCCGGCAGAAACCCAGCATGGATGAGTGCCATACAGAACAGCATCTTGGTGCTTCCCGGTCCAGGCAAAGCTTGGCATATCGAGAAAAGCTCCTGATAAGTCTGCTCATCGATCCAAGGTGCTTTACCACCGCTGCCATCGACAAATCTGCGGTGCAAGGTTTGGAAGTGCACGGGTGGTCCCCCAAACGCAATGAAACCAAGATCCCAAGTCCGGGAAAAGACGTCTCCAAGACGCCATAACAGTTTTTCGTTGTTGGCTTGGTAGGCAGTGCGTTGGTCCTTTGTCCGGTCCTGAACGGCACGGAAGAGATCAAGGAGAGGCATTTCAGCGGTAGAGGAATATGGAAGGCAATGCTGATCTAGTGTACGGAACGATCGAGAAGTAGACGGAGGAAAGTAAGATTTCAAGATATATTTCTGGCGCGCAAGCACTGAGCCAATAGTGATCAGAATTGCTGCACGTGAGGGCTGCCGAGATGCCACGGCTTAGCTAGTGACATACTGTTGCATCTCAGATCGTCGGACGGGCTCGATAGACTCGGAAGATAGCTGACAGACCGATTCAGCAAATATTTCGAAAGGTTCGCAACTGCTCCTCTTATGTACAGGGTGTCCACGGTTCAGCGCCCCCACCCGCCCTCTTGTCAATTCAAAAGATTGTGCGCAAACTTGCAAAAGATCCTACGCGAACTTCATCCCTACTACCTTTCTACACTATTAGTTCCATACAACACACTATTAATAAGCTAAGATTATTACTATAGTATCTTTATATGCTCTACTTATATTTAAGATAATTATATTATAACATTTAGAGGGTCGCGATATAAGGATAACCACGTAAAAAGCTTCTTCCCTATATTAGTGAGGAAAGAATCCCTGTTTGCGCACAATCTTTTGAATTGACAGGAGGGCGGGTGGGGGCGCTGAACCGTGGACACCCTGTAGATCCTCTGCTGCTGAAACACTTAATGAAGTCGGCGCGATCCAGGAGGGGTTTGGCGTGACCGACGCCTGATGACGTGCTTTTGGTTCCTACGGCTTCGTGCAGGGGGTGCAGGAGAGCTGAAAACATCTTACTACATAGATATCCCAAGGCGATCCTTCTCCAGTACCTAGCAACGTCTTCTGCATTGATTTTGAAGTTCTTAGATTTTTGCTAGTACAGAGGGTTACTGAGCTACGATATTAATCTACATTATCGAGCTATCCAAGCAAATATCGATTGCCATTGTAGCGCCATCAACGCCATGTTGACCATACCTTCTATTATATGATCGCCTTTGATCGAGCGTACATCGCAACACTCAGCACAGCAACGGGCGCTACGACCTTTGCCGCCTTCGCAAAGAAATTCTGGAACCTACCCTTGACCATCTTGTCCATGGTTGCCCCAAATTCCTTCGTCTCGTTCACTCTGGGGAAATCCACATCCGGTATCTCCTTCCCAGTAAACTCGCATAGCCTGTCCCATCCTTCGCCAACCTTGTACTCCAATAGACGCTCCTTCGGCACCAGCGTCCTAACCTCCTCATAGTGCTCCACGAAACGCCGTTGTAGGATTGTCGGATCGAGCGTGGCGCCACCGTAGAAGGCCGACCACATGGCGCGGCACATAGGTATCCAGCGGCCGATGAATCCGGGATCGATGTACGTTGCTACGGTGAGGGTCTTCGATATTATGGCTTGACCTATGGTGCTCTCGACGGACTTGTACCACGCCGCAGGATCACGGTTGGTAAGCACGACTTTCGCTTCAGGATACGCCTCGATGAGCTCCTTGGCAAAGGCAGAACACGGCCAGTCTGTTACGGCCTGTAAGATTATAGAGTAAGGAACGACGCCTCCATGAATCGCGCGGAAAGGGTGGAACCATGCTGACCATGCAGTTTCCTAGCACTTGATCAAACTCCTCGCGCCCGAAGGGCTTGCCTTTCCCATGCCACTTCGCAGCGATAGCCTCCTGCCATATGTCGGAGTCGGGAGGGTTCTCGATGCAGGAGGTCATGTGGTAGACGTCGTCGTATCCGAGTATCCGAAGAGCTGCAACCGTCGCTGTGGACAACCATCATCGTCAGCTTCTAAATTCGTAACAGAAGCGAGGCGCAAGCATACACGATGTCCCTGTGCGTGGCATGCCCAGCACCAGCAGCTCCATCGGCACCATTCTCTTCATGCCATGGCGGTCAACCCACTCATCCTCATTCGAGGACACCTCACGGCCGAATAGTGTCATCTTGCGTAGAGTGGATTCTACTACGGCGTTGAAAGTCTTTGAGTTTGGATAGTAGATAAGGCACGCGACGCCACCTATATTAGCAGCCGTTAAGGAACACGAAACCTCTCGCTTAAATAGATAAAGTTTAACCAGCAATTCCCCAATGGCATCTCAAGCATTCCACATCGGATACGCTACTGAGGCAGTCCCCGGGTAGACTAATTCGACCCTGGCTCACGGGCTCGGGCGCCAAAACGAGCCGAGCGGGACACCAAAGGCGAGCGTTGTGGATATCGCTCGGTTTGTGCAGGGCTTTCTTCAACGGTCATCTTCTTGTATGCCATGGTTGAGTGAACCAGGACTACTCTAGTGCACCTGGAGACGACTAGGTACCAGACCTCCAAGGTTAGCTAGTTCTGTGGCGGCTACCATGGCGAGGGTCAACAGGAAGGAGTGGCATATGCCAGTACAACAAGTCGCAATGATATTTTACTAAACCGCTAGCTGGCGAAATAGATTCCTCAGCGGACATGATGTCATGATGGAGAGGTAAAGCACGATGAACTTAGAGAAGCCGGAGATACTTCGGGAAACCCTTGAATGCATCTTCGCCTTGGCGACCAGCTTCTACAGATTCTTCAACATCAATTATCATGGAACAGAGTTGCAAGAGTGAGTACAGCGTATAATCTCTATGTAATACCGACTCTTCATACTTGATGTTTTCCTCGTTTCCATCCGAATACGAAAATTTCACCGAGGTAAGGTAAAGTGTGATTGCGTCGAGATATCTCCTTTATTCGAGCTTGGTCCTTCTACAGTCAGTTGATCCTATTTCTAGCCTGGTTTCAGGCCTTACCTATCCGTACTACACTCCACATTAGCCTCCGTTTCACAGGAACGTTGTTCTCACTGGGGACCGTTTACCCGTTCAGCATCATGCTTATGAGCCTCGTTTTCTCGGCAGGCCCGCTAATCCGTGTAACCAAGTAGTATCTCGGCCAGTTTTCAGCTTTCATAATCCGCCCAACCATAAAAATGCCGCGGCAAAAGCAGCCCGGAAAAGCGGATAAGCATGCCAAGCGGAAACCCTCAGCTCCAGAAACCGAGGACGAGTTTCTGGAAACGGCAGATGAGCTGGAAAAATCCGGCGGAAAGTGGCGAGCTGGTGATGCCGCCAAAGCAATGCGCTTCTTCCAGCGTGCCATCGACACCTATGGTACCGGACTCCAGCAGTATCCAAGAAGCTTTGACCTTGCCTACAACAAGGCGCTGCTCCAGTATCAGATGACTCAGGACCATCGAATAGCCTCCCAGCTAGGAGATCCCATAAACTTGCTACGAGAGACGCTCGAGTCACACCGGTATGCTCGGCAGTTGAATGAAGAGAATGCGGACATCTTATTCAACACAGCTCAGGTGCTTACGAGTCTTGCTGAGGCACGTGCCGAAGATGTCGAAGATGCTGAGAGCAGAAGTGATGCTGTCCGCCTTCTGCAGGAAGCCGTAGAGCTGTTCTCTGCTTGTTTGACGCGGCAAGAGATGGAGTACTCCGAACAACAAGCGGCAGCAGTAGAAGCAGCTAGTACTGCTACCGACACTGATGCTGAAGACGTTAGGGACACTACGGATACCGTGGAAACGTCTCCTGACTCACCAGAGGCGGAGCAATGGGCCACGGTAGTGGAGCCCGTAACTCCTGGAACTCTGCTTGAGACGGCACTTGCACAGCTCTCCGCCCTATCCACACTGGTGAGCCTCACTACATCCTCTACCGTTAGTGCGTTGGGTTTCATTCGCGAGCTTGCTTCGCCACTGCTGGTCACGAAGATTCCTTCGTATCTGTCCCTCATCTCAACAGACTGCCCAAACCCGATCATGAAAGAAGAACCTTCATCAGCGTCCGCTCGTTCAATATCTGTAACGGAGCCAAACCCTCAGCCCGTCGCAGACGCTACACAAGAACCACCTCCACACGTGACAGCTGCGCTCGCGATCTCAGCATACACGGCAGCCATAGCCGACGCGGAGTACCGCGCTGGCCTTACTACCGCAGATGATTATGGCGCGCGCTTGACCAACGCGTATGAGCCGCTTCTGTCCGAAGACCGCTATCAAGCCGCACCATCAAAGCCGTTCACAGCAGTCCTTGGCGCCTATGCGGACGCTTTAAGCGATCTTGCTTCCTCCCTTGCGGGTTTGGACAGGGCGAAGCATAAGCCGAATGTAAGCCCTTCTTTCGTTTGTTATCATCTTCTGCTCCGAATTCAAGAATATGGGCGCTGTCCAACTGCAGCGGCCCCGGAAAATTATAACAACCATAGATAGCGTCCACACCCCACCTTTCCAATTACGCATCCTACACTCAGCCCGTTCTTTTTTCATCGCGTTTTCAATCTTCTCTAGTAATCCAAAACTATTCGTTGGCGTCGCTTCTATGAATCCTCTCAAAGGCCTAGATAGCGAGAACAGCCCGCATCCTCGGTGGCTGCGATCAACCGCACGCAGCTGCAATGACACTGCCCAATCGAGCGAGCGCGGAATGATATATCTCTCTGCCCACAACAGAGTCCCGCAGTCTCTCATAGTACAGCACTGTTGCACAGAATTGCGCGAAGGGAGCCGCAGACCACCTTAAAACCTTGCCGCCAGGCCAAAACACGTTCATCCCTGCTCTCACAGCACTTCATTCGGCGCACTTCTCCGCCGCATGAAACCCCTAATTAACACAGCCTCCAGCAAAAACCCTCCCAGCACGCAGCTCTCCGCTGGCAGGCCCTTACCCGCGCCCAAGAACTGCTCACTGCCGCTTCCAAACAAGAGACGGCGAACGCAGAGAAGGCACGAATATATCTCGCGCGCGGCGATGTCGGGCTCGGTCGGTTCCAGCTCGCCAGCCTGCCGGATGCAGCGGCTAGCCTGGTTAAGAGCAGGGAGGTGCTGCTGAAGAATGCGGGAGTGTACTATCGCGGGGCTGCCGGGTTGGCGAGGCAGGTGAGTGGTGGTGGAGTGGCTGTACTTTACTATCGTGGCTGGAATGGTGCTGACATTTGCGACCAGAGTTTTGACACAGAGACGGTTATGGAAGCTACGGTGAAGGAGGCTGTAGCGCAGGTGCAGGCAGCGCTCTTCCGGAACGATGCTGTTGCTCAGAGCTCCGCGATATGGGAGAAGCTACTATCTGGGACAGGGAGGAAGCAAGTGTTAGATGTCGTCAGAGAGATGCAGGAGGATGGACTGATTGCAGAAGAGCTGGTGAAGCAGCTTGTTGGGTGATTTTTGCAGTTCTCCGCCGCAGAAGCTGCCCACGCGACAGTTCTCGACAGTTCTCGACAGTACGCATCTCGCAGAAGACAAGCTGGGGATGATCTTGAGTTGCGCTTGTTACAGAAAGCGTCACATGATAATGCTGGGCGGTGGTTGTTTTTGATATTCGCACCCCTGTCATGTCTCACACCACCGCAGGGGCTGGAAGCGGAAAAGTGGAGGCTCTTCTGACCTGGGGCGGCGCGGTTCTCCGCACTTTCCGCATCAATGCAGGCGTGTCTTGGCCAGTGTTCGGTTCAGCAGGTTGCGAGGGATCTTCCCGAGCATGTCCATGTTCAGCGACATGATGGATGCGTTTGTGTCTTGACTCTGAAGTTCCTTGTTTCCTCGCAGTGTTCAGGAGGCACTTTGTGCTTGTGACGTCGAGCTGGTGTTTTAAGTTTTGACCTGGCTGGGGATCCCGCAGAGCTCAAGCCGCAAAATGCTCCCAATGCGATCGACGAACTCGACCAGGGATTTGACTTGCCCGTAATAGGTTTAGCGGTCACTTGATTTGGAAAAAAGGCGACTCGAACATAAAACCGAGAAAGTGGGTATCTACTCGAGTAATCCGCAGCGCTCGCACTGGACACATGCTCTATATCAAGCAATCCAGCCGAGAACCTCCAGCTCAAGCTCGAAAGATCAATGGAGATGCTGTGCAACAGCGGGCGACCTCCATGCTGAGTGTTGCCGCTTGCGCAGGGCATCATGGGCATGCGGCTCGTCGTTGGTCGATGGGGAGTTGCACCGGGGAGCCCCCGGTCTGGACTTTCGGTCGATCAAGCCGGGGGAGCCACACGGACCGGGAGAGCTGATCGGTGGGAATATGAGCTGGCCATCCCCCAGAATCCCAGCAGCTCATCAAGAAACCTCACGAACCTTTGACATCTATCGCGCGACTCTGCATTGCCTCCCCCGTTACTCGACGCCAGGATTCAGCTACCAGATCGAGCAGTCCGGTGTGTCCCCGTTCAAGCGAGAGCTCTGGGAAAGGTCGGGTACCGGAGTAACCACCGCCTTCCGCACACAGCTGAGACACCCTCCGCAATCTGTACGACCTCGTTCAGGGCCCAGGCATATTGAGGGGCGTCGCACAGTCTGACGATCGCTTCGCCCGAATCAGGAGATCCAACCCGTGATGCAAAGAGTCACCATGAGCTCTTGTTAGGTTATCTCAGTTCCTACCGCATCCTCGCCTTCGCACCGAATCGTTCGCATTGGCTTGACCCGCCGAGCCTCCATCGCGACCTCTCCTTCCCGCGCCGCATTGAGCATTCACAATGAGCGCCTTGACCATGGCCGTCGCGACTGCGAACGCGCGGTCAGCCTCTGTTGGAGGCGCCGATCAAATCCCGTCCGCTGCTGGGAGACCAGGAGGCCCACGTACTATCAACTATACCAGCCCGAGCAAGACTTCGGCATATGGCTACTACAACACATTCCACACGCACTCGTTGCCATCGACGCCGGAAACTCTTCCTCCGACCTACGATACCGCCGTGACCACCACCCCTCGTCCTACGAACCGGGAGGTCCTCCCGAGATACACGTGCTCCGTAAACCACGAAGGCGCCGGATCGATGAAGAGCGAGCTCTACACGCCTTTCCTCATGACCATCCAGCAGCAATGGCAAGACGTCTACTTCGTCCTCCGCGGCACTCAACTGTCCATATACAAACTCAAGACTTCGACCTTTGGCCGCCCAGTTAAGCCGGCAGCGCCTGGACGCCTGATCGAGACATACACGCTGCAGCACGCTGAAGTGGGGCTGGCGACAGACTACAGCAAGGGATGCTTAAGACCCAAGCGTGGCCTTGTGAGGCTTCTGCCCTCATCCACTTGGCAAAAGGTGTACGAGTCGGATCCCCAGCTCTTTGAGCCGGTGCGAGAGTTTGTGATACGATTGCGCCTGGAAGCGGAGCAGTTCGTCTTCAGTGTTGGAACGCAGGAGCAGATGCTCGATTGGGTGGAGAAAATCTGCGCGGCGATCGACATTTCTCCGCCGCTAGAGAGCAGAAGCGAACCCAGGTACAGAACCATGCCGCGGAGGAGCAGACGCCAGAGACATCTTGACACGCGCACTCTGCAGAACCTGGACAATCTGGAGAGCCTCGCCGAGGGCGTCAGAATATTACGCGAGCAGGAAAGGATTCTGCGCGAGATGTATCCGCAGCTCACCGAGGGCGGCGCAGATGCTGCGGAGGCAGGACCTCCTGTTGCGGACTCTCCTACCAACGACGCCGGCGCAGACGCGGATACCTACGACCGGGAGGACTTCCTTTTCCCGACGAACTCCCTACGACCCGGTTCAGCACCTCCAGCGACCGCCCCAGCGCCCGCCTCCCAGCAACCCGCACTCGCAGCCCTAACCACTACCCAAATCCCATCCTACAACCCCAAAACAGCCGCCCCCCGCACCTCCTCCGCCGCGCAAACCCTCCGCTATCGCCGCCGCTGCTGCCCCGTCCTCCTGTACCACTCCTCCCGCGCCTCCCCCGTCGTAATGCGCCGCGGCGTGCGCATGCGCCTGGACCGCGAGCGCCAGCTCCTAGTCGAATTCGAAGAACACCCGCCTAAATACGACGCGCACGGCTTCTCGGCCGTTGAGCGCGCCGCAGCCTTAAACGCACAAGCGGCGCCCGAGGCCCGTGCAAGGCCGCAGATACAGAGAGCGCAGACGCACGACTCGGACTCCTCGTCCGTGGTAGCGGATGACGGCTCCGTCGACGCACAAGGCCGCGCTGACATGATCGGTGATGAGCTGTCGAGGAGCGTGACCGAGGATGCGACACCCCCGCCGAGTCCGGGGTTTGCGAGCGGCAGGGCGAAGGAGGCTATGACTGTTACGGTGGGTGGGAAGAGCATTACCGTACCGCATCCGGAGCACGTTGGGTTTGGGTTTGCGATGGGGTTGGGGGGGAGGGGCATTGTTGGCGTTTGAGTGATCGAGTTAGTTGTGAGGGAATCTGGATACGCTCAAGTGCTGAGCTGACTTTGGAGGTTTCTTTGTGTATAAGGGCTGTGAGCTTGGATGAGGGGGGAATGAGTTGATGCGGCGTCGATACCCTTCTCCTTCGCTCGCGTGCTGTCCTCTCTCTTTTTCCTCTTCTTTGCGCCATGCGTAGCGCGAGTTGCGCTGCTGGGCCGTCCCCTGTTCTTTGATGTTCTTGTACTTATGTCTGCGACCTGCATACCTATCTGTAACCAAACTCCAATACCTATAGAACCCTTCTTTGTCCTCGACATTAAGAGTCAAGGCTTGAATCAATCCATAATTACCGAGTGTCCGTTCCCTGTTGAGTCGAGCACAGTCTGAACGTCTACTACAGCCACTCACGTGATCCGCAAGTCTGGTTACCTGTTTGCTGGGAATCAGAATATTACGTTCTTCATAGCGGATTCGTACAGGCGCAAGTGAAACGGAGTGTCACGTTCATATGCGAGGAGCAACAAGAGGAAAGGATAAGTCTCAGTCCTAGGAGCTCACTATGGCCGCCCTGCTCACAATGTTTCCAGCTTTCCCAAATACAAGCGCGCCGCCTTACGGCTCGTCACCAGCAAACCCCACGTTCGATACTAGTTCCGAGAACGGAGCACATCGGTCACCGAGCATTAAACATGCCACAACCACGGCCTCTTGCCATCCGTACTCTCGTTTTCTCTCCCTTGGGTTATCTTCTCCGAGTCTGATTTTCGGATTACATCAACCAGGTCTGAACCGGATGGCGGATTACGGGCTGCTGATTTTCGCTGAGTGACGAATCGTTTCGCCTGACATGACTTTTCAGCCAGGGTTGCGAGTTTCCTCGTTCCTCTCTTGCCGCTTGCTGGGGTACGTGTGTGCTCAGTCGAGTACGCGAAGGCGAGGCGTGAGATGCGCAAGAAGCGAATTGTGCCGCTGCCAACAGCTAGCGGGGTGGAGTAGTGCTTGTAATCCGTCGAGTCGGTAAGCGGTGCGGCTACTGTACGCTGTGCTCCTAGCCGCGACCGAGAACTTCTTGACGCGTTTATTCGTCCGAGTACGCCCCAGTGTCCTTCCTCAACAGCCCCTTCTGCCTCGCAACAGAGTCATTCACGCCGTTCTCAACTCTTCCTCAATCCCCCTGATCTCTCCGGAAACACCCTCCATCGCATCCTCCTGCACCAACCCTGCCGCCTCTTCCAGATCCTTCACCACACCCTCCAGGCCCTTCACCAACGCCTCAATCTCCCTCCTCTGCTCGCTGACCGCCTCAGCCAACACCCGATTCCCCGCTCTCACCTCCTCCAGCCTCTCCTCGAGCGCGCTTTCCCTCCCCCCCAAAAACCCCGCCAGATGCGCCCTGAGCAAAACCTCCGGCGGTAGCCCATGCATCGCGACCTCCCCCTCCCCCGCCTCCTTGCGCCTCCTAGCCTCCCCAACAAGCCTATCCAGCTCATTCAACCCCGCCACAACGTCCCTCTCCTCTAGAATCCCGGCGAACTGCGCACGGCACACTTCGCCCAGCCGCGACACGAAGTCGCGGTGGAACGCGTCGAGGTTTTCGGGCACGTGGAGCGCGGGCGTTGGGAAGCAGGTCGCGAAGTTGGCGTAGGAAAGCCGCTTTAGCGTCGCGTCGAGGGAGACGTGGAAGATGCTTGACAGGGCCGTGGCGCGGGGGCCGGGGGTGCTGGCTGTTGGGGGGAGGGGTGTGGGGGTGGGGGAGCGGGATGTTGGTGCTGGCATTGTTGTTGTTGCTGGCATTGATTCGGTCTGTTGCGTTCTTTTGGGTTTTTTTTAAATTAAAGAGATTGATCGAGGGACAGGAATCGAAAGAGGACGATGGGGTCGTGTATGAAATTGGTGCTGAGATAGTGGTATAGGAGTTTTGCGGAGGGTCTTGTGCGGTGGTGTTTATGTTTTGGTGGAGCGCTAGAGGTAGAGATCAGATTAGATCCGCGCGCTTTCGGCTTGGAACACGAAGGCACGTGATTGTCTCAATACAATGTCGGTTCTTTCATCCAACTTCTTCCCTCGCGGACCGCATAAAGTGAACAAACTTGCGCCGCAGTCTAAGCCGTGGCTTAGGGCTATAGCTTGTTCGCAAGACAGTGCCTTAGAGACGGCATCGAAGCACTGCGATCTAAGATTATTTCTGAACCTCAGACACCAGACGATACAATTCTATGCTGCTTTGTATGAAGTTCATTGCGGTCATATGATGCTTGCCTCCGCTATATGATGAACTCTCTCTCTGCCTTTTTATTCTGCTGTTCTCCTTCCTCTCAACCTGTTCCGGTTTTTTATGTTTCTCCATGCTGCGAACCTTCACCGCCTATATCGCCTGTGATGGACCGAAGTTACGATACTGTGTTACTGTTCCTTCGAATTTCCGTCTCGCTAAACTCTGGTCCCATTACCTGGACCTGCTAAGCTTCGGTCACGGAGCGAACAGCAGCTTGTGTCCGCCGCCAATCATGCCAGTACAGACCATCAGTGACAGGACCTGAGAGGTTGCGCGCGGTCTCGAACACTGCTACATACAACGCAAATTCTATCCAGTAACAATGGCGTTGTTGGCTTGGCCCAAATTGGAGTCTTCTTTGTTCGCTCTACACAATGCTCATATAAACCTCAACATTGCACGCTAGGTCCGGTATATTCCCATAATCGGCTTGGTATATAGATCAGTCCTGGGGCCCTTCGTCAGCGCCCCAAAACTTCCCGCGGATTCACCTGAAGCTTACTGTTCGACAGACTTACAACTCAAGCGGGCCTTGAATTGTTACAGAACTCCTCTCACCAAAAAAGTAACCATAACCGATTACCATGGCAGCACTCCCATCAAGAGCCGAATTCCTCACCAGCGGCATAAACCCTGTGGACATCGACAGCCTCCCTCACGACAGGAGGGAATGCGACATCTGCACGGAGAACTTCCACATGCAGAGCGATCAAGGTAACCTGGGCTACAGGCCGGTAAGCATCCGCTGCCCCGCGAGACACGTCTACTGTTTTGGGTGCATCACTGAGTGGTTCAACTTCGTCGCAGACAACTGGGAGTACAACAACACCTGTCCAACCTGCCGCGCCGAAGTCTATGAGCCGGAAGAGGCGTCAGATTCCGAAGAGGGCGACGAAGAACCGCCACTCTCACTAGATCAACCATTACCTGGGTTTAGAGATGGCGTACGTGCGTACTTGAACCGCTACCACGGGCCTACGAATGCCAGCGATGAGCTGATCAACACTGCGAGTGACTGGATGCCGCGGATGTTTTCGGCACACGGCATCCCACCGCCGATAGGTTTCCCATTCAACGAGGATGAAGACGTCGAAGGCGAGATGTTCTCGCTCGTTGAACAGGAACTCCGCCGTCCGGGTAGGGGAGGGCTTCCCCCGCATGAGCTCTACGATGCGCTACTGGCCGCTGCGCTACAGCAGCCCATACTCCAGGAGTGTGGATCACTGACCTGTATTCGGCTCTTCATTCGGAGAATAGTCGAGTACCTGTGGGAGGGTGGGAGTGACTCAGAGTAGGAATTTCTGGCTTTGAACAGTGCGCGGGTGGTTTTTAGTCCGCTTTTTTTTCGTTCTACTCAGGTAAAGAATCAGATTCGTACAATTACACATAAGCTGATGCATTTCCACGTACAACCGTGTCCTGTTCTGATATGCTTGTTCAAGTAACGTGTGTATCATTTCATTGTGAGCGTTGTCTCAAAGCTATATTCGGAGTGATTCATCCATTGCACGTGGACGTCGTTGATTCTGTCTCTGGGGCCCGTCTCAAGGAAAGAGTTCCAGAAGTTGTGAAAGAAGAGCCGTGTTCCTGTGAACATCTCTCCTGAAACAGTTTCACAGTCTCTGGTGCTAATAAATACCATCCTCTTTCCATTGCTCATTCCCTCCACCATCCGCATCTTCTGCAATTAAAAGTGACGCTGAGTCTTCGATAGATCTAGAAGTCGGGCAGGCTCGAACACCTTCGACTCTTTCCACGAAAGTAAACACTCCATCCACCAGCAGGATGCCGGCTCAGCTGCCGTCAAGGAAAGTCTTTTTTTACAGGGAAATCCAGCCAGTCCGCATTACCGACCTCCCAATGGACTGCCGAGACTGCCCCATTTGCATCCAGGACTACACGGATCCAAGCTCTCAATCGTCCACTACCGGTCACCCGATGGGTATCTCATGCCCAGCCGCTCACGTCTTCTGCCGCGAGTGTATCACTCTATGGTTCAACAACATCACGCCACATGGTTGCTTCGCGAATACGTGCCCGATGTGTCGGGCGGAGGTCTACGAGCTAGAAGAAGCTCCTTCGTCTGACGAGTCAGATGGTGAAGAGCAAGGTGAGATCAACGCGCCGCCCAGTACCCCAGTAACGCTGACACCAGGTATAGTGCTAGGATACAGCGCGGCGACAGACGGCGTTCGTGCCACGTTAGCTCGGGACAACGTCCGAATTTCCATCACCGACGCAACCTTCGCCACGCTCTATTACGACCAGGAATGGATCTTCGACTTGTGGGACAGTGTCGATGATACTGTATACGAGTCGCTAAGTTGGGATGACGCCGAGCACGCAACGATTTTAATCGGAAATTGGATCCACGGTCACAGGAATAACCTCCCGGTGAGGCTATACGACGAGCTACTGGACGTCGTACTACGGCGTTCTGCGCTTCGCGACATTGGGCCAACGGTTGCGATCCGACGGTGGATTAGGTCCATCGTTGAATACCTCCGCGACCGGGATTTCGAGAACTTCTGATTGATTTTTGTTCTTTCATTTTCTGAGTTTGCGCAAGGTTTCGTTCGGCGTTCTGGATTCTGCTTTTGGTAGCGGGACGGTGGGCGGAGATCTGCTTTGGCATTCTTAGACTAGACCGAAAAGCTGCCAAAGAAAAAAGGCTGAAATTAGAGCCTTAGGTGGCTAAGTTGAATACAAGACTGTCACCTGATACCATTTCATCCCGCATTTACCAAACCGTGCTATCTACAACGTGCCTCAGTCCTGCTTCACACAAGTCTGGAGAAACTTTCACATCCCGCCCATGCGTAGTTTCACAGCCAAGCATGCCCTTAAGTACTACCCACCCTCTCCTCCCCAGAACACTCCAGCTTCATCCAGGGATTGCACTTCCACCTGCAAACCGCAAACCACCATGACTTTGACGATATTCCACACTCCAGCCCCAGCCCTCACAATCCCTCCCTTCGCAGCGCACACCGCGCACATCTGGCTCCGCCTCGCCTGGGAAGGCTACCAGGCCCAACTCGGCCCCCACGCAATGCCCACGCACTGGCGCGATCCCCTTATCAGCACCGCGCAAGCGTTCTTTCTCCGCCACGCCGAGCCAGAGCCAGGAGCACCTCCCACAACCACAACCACAACCACAACCACGCCACCGCCAACTCTGGCAAGCGCAGAAGCACTCTGCACTGCGCTGCTAAACGAGACGGTCGCAGCGGTAAGGGGCATGGTCGTGCGTGTCGATTTGCGATGGCATCCGTGGCGTGAACTGGAGGGGTTCGTGCGGTTCGTACTGGGTAGCCTTGCGGATCTGGTCGGTGGAGGGCCGGAGGTGTTGGAGGGAGCGCTAAAGCAGTTGTGGTGGGAGAGCGGGGTTTATGTTACGAGTGAGGGTGGAGTGCTTGGTTTGAGGGGTTGAGTGGGAGAAGACTTTGGAAGCAGGTTGAGAAGAAGTTGAGTAGGGTTGAGGAGAGAAGGCTCTGCGGATTGGGAAAGGGTTGAGAGCGGGATGGTGTAAACAGAAAATGCTAGAAAAGAACAGGGGGGGGTACTTATGCCCTCTCGTTGGAGAAACTCTACCGTAATGTGTATCTGCTATTGTCTACTCACTTACAACGTGCTTTATTCAAGTCTTTCAGTCACGGAGTAACGCATGAATATCTCGCGTGCGTTCGAGCGACCCGTTGAACAAAAAACAACTGACAACAGAAAAGCGAATCCGCAACATCCGATTCGCCAAACCTTATGGTATATCGCTTAGCGAAGCAAAGCAAATCGAGCGACAGCCGCTCCGGCACCTGCAGGCCACATAAATTAGCGCTGCTAGCAAATCTATACTATACCCGTCGAAACTTTTGAAAGAAATCGAGGCAACCCCTCCCTCGCTCTGCCATAGTTACCCGAAGCAACCAATAACAAGTGATCAAGAATTACTCGACCCGCACAATGACCCTTAGTGTCCCTTCCATCCAGATGGCCTGAGCCGCTTCAACCTTTACCTCTTCCCACGCCTGCGCACTCCTCACCGGCACCAGCCCATGCGGCGTGTGTGCCCTAATCTCGAACTTTGGCGACGGCAGTGGCTGGGTTTGCGGCTGTTCGGTCAGGTAACTATTCGGTGTATGCGGCATCAACGGTTCTGCTACCGGCGTGTTGGGCTGCTCCAAGCCTGATTGGGGGTTCGAATTGGAAGTCAACTGTTCGGATCTGTTGGGCATTGTTGGTACACTGTGCGCTGAGCTGGAGCGAGAGCGCTCGCTTGGATAGCTCAGCGCAATTCGCACTTGGTTCTCTATAAGCTCATACAGCGCCTGAAATGAGATAGGGTGATAGGATTGCTGGGCCGGTATGTCGATCCTGGGAAGGAGCTTGAAATTGCGCTTCGTGATGAGGATGTACAGGACATTCTCCGCCGAAGGCCTGTACGCTCGCTGTGGGTCTTTGGCAACAACCTGCTCTGCCGGTATTGGTGTGATAGTTGTCGGGTCGACGTCCTCCGGCGGTTCATCCTGATCCTGTTGTCCAACGCCGGTATTGGATGCTGGGTCCTTGTTCCTCGCCACTCTCTGCTCCAGCGCGTACAGCCGCTGTCGCTCATTCGTGACCATCCGCCTCAGTAGCGGCGTGAGCATCGTGATGATGTCCTTTGCGTCCCGCGGCCAGATCTTCCTCTGCTGGCTGCCGCTGGCCCCGCCATCCTCCCCGCCGCCTTCCGCACCTTGACGCGCAGTATCCGGCGTAGCTACGGCCGCATTCTCGCCAAAGAACCGCTCACCGATGCCATCCTTTTCCAAGAAGTCCTTGACGTAGTTGGCCAGCTTCACTTTCCCCACCTGCATTTCGCCCTTCGCTCTTTCCCCAATACAGTCACGACGTTCAGGAAAGGCCGGATCGAGCATGTATTGCTTCGCCGCGGCATGGAGTTCCAGAAACTCCTCAGGTGGCACTTGGAACGCGCCGAATAGCTTCGCCATGGGAAGTCGCGTACATCGCGTTTTCAGATCCTTGTTTTCCGGACGGTAGAGCGCGATTGCGCTGGCCGCCGAGATCTTGCCCGTGTGTACGGCGTTTGCCAAGTGTTGTGGGAATGTGGTGGGAATTGAATGATAATTGGGCTGGACTTGTGGTGGGGTGGTTGTTGCACTAGTATTCACGGTAGACTTTGCAGCGGCTGAGCGCGTGGTACGCTTAGTGGGGCGCTTGGAACGAGGTGTAATAGCGTCTTGAGGGTCGTCGTGGTCTTCTTCGTTGTGGTCGGCCGCCTGCGTGCGCTTGCGTTTGGATTCGCGAGGTCGAACAGCACGGCTTTTTCCACGCGACGCTGTCCAGATGTCTGCAGATATCTCTTGAATGTGTTCTTCCCCTCGCAAATGGCCGTCGGCGTTGCTTGCAGCTTGTATCGGTTCTCCAATGTGATCGCTGCCGCCTTCTGCCGAGCAGTCGACTTGCGCGTTAAGCTGCCGCAGTTCGTAAGCTGCATCTGCATACATGTTCGCCGTTGGCTCAAGCGACGTAGGGTAATCGAAGTCATGCTCGTACCGTCCACCCAGCGTGCCGTTTTGATAGTCGGGGCCGGAACTTTGGAAGTACGGTCCCGTTGGTTCAAGTGGAGGATCTGTGTGTTCGGCCATATTATGAAATTCACATGCTCGTCATGAAGGCGTCTTTATCTGCTTGCTGGCTGTCCGCCGTGAAGGTGGTTGGAGGTATTGCGGTTTTTGTTTTGACATAAGACTGAGAGAAAGATCAGCATTGTCAGAATTTCTACGCAGGCTTTTAGCCTGCGGCAAGTGCAAACCCATAATGATATTGCAAGAAGTGGGGTTTTATGGGGCGTACATGTCGGACGGAGGCAGAAGTCCAGGTAGACAGCTCCAGGTTAGGCGGACGTCCTGGTGAGGTGTTCGAACGGTGATTTTTTGTGCTTGGCGCGAACTGTGTCCTGAGGCAGAAAAAGTCCCTCGGAGGAAATCTCATGACATTGATAACGTACCTGTGTCCTTCCTAGGTTATCGTGTTTGACATTGGAATACGATTGCGGCACTTGGAAGGATAAAGTGGCAGGACTGCTAGACTGAAGTTACATGACAGACAACGATAGGTGATTTCACAATATGATACTCATATGTATTTAGCGTGTCAATGCTTTTTTGTCTGTTCGTTTGCAACTTCAGCTCGATCAATCTCTAGATTAAATCTGCTGAAAGTATGTGCGGCGTAAAATTTATACGATAAAGCCATGAAGCTTTTATGCTTCAGCCATGCGCCCCTAGTAATGCGCCCCATCCATCTAAGATCTCCCAGCCAACGCCGATAAGTAGCACACGGAGGTATATGAGCAGACATCTCCACCAAAGCGACGTCGTATAGCAATATGCGCAGACGCACCACCAAGTGCCTTTCACAACAGAGTATCTCTTTCGCTGCTCCAGCTCTCAGAATCCATCTCCTTCTTTCCACTCTCTTCCACACTCCTCAGCTCTCAGCCTCGGATCTTCTCCCCTCTTAAACGCCTCCTGCTTCCTTTCCTCCAGGTCGAGCCTCAGATGATCGATCTGCTCCTGCAACCAGCGATCCCTGCCCGACTCCGGCACCTCCAGCTCCGCCGCCTCGTCCACCTTCCCATCCGCCTTCGCATCCAAAATCGCCTTCTCTTTCTCATGCCACTCCCTCAGCTCATCCTCATGCCTACGCATGCGATACCTCAGCTCAAACCAGTCGTTAAACGCCTGCTCGCCACCAAAGCACACCCCAAACCCATCACAGTAGCACTGCTGCATGGCGGGACAAACCACATTCTGCCCCGTAAAGATGTACTGCCACATATACTCCCAGATCCTGCCGGAGATGTAGTCGCTCAGCTGCGTCTTGAGCAGCCAGTCTCGATACCACACGAAGCTGGCCAGCGGGATACTCCGGATGCGCAGCTTGCTCAGCGCAAACTGCGCGCAGCACGCCTGCGCCAACACATCCGGGATGGGGTCCAGCGGGAAGATCTCCGACCACGCCTTCGCGACCATCGTCTGCTCCTGCTTGTTGATGTCCTCCTCGACCTCGCCCGGGTGCATCCAGTCCGGACACCCGGGGTCCCAGTGGCAGCGCATGTTCATGTAGCCCTCGCGCATGACTCTTTCGCTGCTCAGCCGCCGCAGCATCTGGGCCGCGTCGTTGTCGAGGATGTCGTCGTTATGCCAGCTCCAGCGGTGCGCGTGCATGAAGGCCGCCACGTCCGGGAGGGACTCGTAGTTGTCGATTATCCAGCTCAGGTACACCATCACTTCGTGGCCTTTGTTCTTGGGCGGGTGGAGGGGCGACAGTGGGTCGTCGACTGTGTAGATTGCCGTCCGCCATTCGGGGAGCTCTTCTGAGATCCAGGATATGTCCTCGTCGTGTGTGCGCGGGACCACGAGGATGCGGCTGTATTCGTGGCCAGGCGGGTAGGTGGTGCCGGGCTGGAAGTTGGGCTTCGCGTGGGAAGAGAGTGTTGATTTAGAGGTTCGGGCGGAGTCGCCCGTGGAGTAGTCCTGGACGAGTTCTGGTGGTTGCGCGTCGTCGGAGTCATCGGGTATCGATTCGCCCATGCCGACGTGCTGTGGTAACGTTCGCCATGTTTCGCGTGCGGACGAGCTGCGGTAGAGGACGAAGACGAGAACGAAGGTCGCGAAGGCTAGCAGCGGTATATATCTCCGTTGCGGCGGCATTTTGTGCATTGTAACCGGCGCGGAGCGTCGAGAAAAGGAAAGCTGAAGGGAGGACTCGAAGGAGGAAATGGATCTAGGGAAAGACACGGGCTGGGTGGAGCGTCAACATGGAGGATCCGCCTCGTATCCAGGGCGCATAGGTAGCTCGTCGCACCTTGAAAATGTAACTCTCAGGATACGAGCAGCGACATGGGGAGGAGTGTCGCTCAACGAAAATGCCCCAACGTGGGACAACTAAAATTTGGACAGAAGGTAGAACCACGGTAAGAAACGGGAAGCTTGGAAGTTAAAACATAAAGGAAACAGAAGAGAAGGAGGGGATAGATCGCGAGAAGTGGCTTACAGCTCCATGTTGACGCGCAATGCATGGAAAGGCTCCGACGAGCGATGTGGATCCGCGCGGGCCTTGCTGGCCTGTGAGGCGCAAAACGGCTTCAGGGGCCACGGATCCGCAGGCTGCAGCCTTCCGCGGTGTTTCACAAAACCCGCCCCCACGAAGATCAGTGCTATCTGCAAGGGGTCGTTGTTACGCAGAGACTGCGATGTTATTGTTCTACCTATCTACATATCCTGCCACCAGAACATTTATTCGAATACACGCCAAACCAGCAAGGGCCAAGGTTGAAAGGAGTCGGCCGCTATCTCAAGCCAGTTTAGCTGCCGCCTCCCGCGTTTAGTGCGCCCTGCTGCAGTTCTCAGCTCTCAAGTAAGGCGCCTCTTGTTCAGCCGCCAATGCCTACACATCGAGGCCTCCGGAGCAACGGCAAGCACGAAAAGGACTCTGTCTACAGCTTCAACACTGGGGCGGCAACTGCACATGAGCCGTCCACTTAAGTAGGGTTCAGCCTTGATGAAGCCCGAGGCCTTATGGGTCAAGCCTGTTCATTACCTTTCAGGATTCCGCAGTTGCGTCCAGGTCGTATCATCGTTGAGAGCCAACGCGGAGAACTCGTAACTAAGACCGCCGGACAAGACTTGTCCGGTTGGCAACGCTCGTTGCAGCCAGCATTGATTGCTGGCTGGTGATGAATCGCGTTTCGTTGCAGGCTGTCGTCAGTGTAGCGCTGCTTTCACATAGCGTTAGTGCACCATCACGGGCTTAACGCCTTCATAGGTCAAACGATGCTCTTGACCTCGCTTGCGGTTTGATCGAGTACGAAACGAACTGCTTTCGACACGTGACACCTATAGCAGATGATCACGTTGAATAACAGCCAGCGCAGTGCAGATGTGCTAAGCAGGTGAGAGTGGTGGTGGTGGAATCGCTGATGTAGTGGCCGAGGGCTATCTGGATGAGTGGACGGCGCTTTCTTTTCCGGAGCATCAATGGCGTATCGGTTGTTGCGGACGTGTGTCGATACACTGCTGGTCAGCAGAACTTGAAAAATCACTTACGTCCTTTTCGATGACGGAGTTGAACTAGGGGCAGTGCGCGTGACGAACTTGGTGCAGAGGAATGATGTGCCCTATTTTCGGAGTACCGCCTGGTCCGTAGTATTAATTGATCAGTAGAGCGGAAGGCCTTTGAAGGGAAGCTGCGGCATGCAATCCAGCACCGCCAAAAATTGCGTCTGGTACACGTGTGTCCGCCTCAGAGGTCTACCGGTCGCGGCAGATGGATTGAATCAGTTCGTGACAGTTGCTTGCTACCGAGCGCGAGAAGAGTGGTTGTTTATGTCGCCAGGCAACTCCAATGAGGAGTATCCTGTGGCGATGCGAACTAACAAACGCTTGACGACCTAGCAGCGAATATGTCTCGTGGCTTCGAGACCTTGGCGCGTAATAGCACAGGAGTGTTTGAGGTCATTGCAGCCGGTGACGTTTTGCCGATGTGGACACTCTCGTTATTGAGAAGGCGGAATCACGCAGTAGCGTATATAAGCGGTTCTTTGTTTCAGTAATTTGCGGTTTGGTTTTGGTGGTGGTGCTGTCACGGGAAGCAGGCGAGGTGCATTTGACATCCGACCAGAGCTGGCGGTGCAGCTGAAACTCAAGTGCTTTGAAGCATGGCTGGAAGCTCGCCCAAGTTCGGGAATCTCTATCAAGGATGGTGCATCAAACGTGCTGACTTGCTGACCTGCTGAAAGCGGATCTGCATCGCCGATAGCAGATGTCGATATAAAGACGCATAGTAGTACAATTTGATGAAGTTGCCGATGTCATGAGTGACGTATCCCAGACCGAACCGCAAACGTCGACTTGCCGCAGATGCCGATTGAGCCGTTTTAAGGAAACCCCACCGAGATGAAAGCGCAGACTGAAATGATTAGACTGGTGGGTGTCGGTGCAATGGCCATGAACCGAGGCGTACCGTCTCGTCCGCCGCGAAGCAAATAGAGCAATTACCGTGGAGCTGATGGTGCTTTTCCCGTCTGAGTGAGATCGACTGCCGACAAGATATGATGGAAGCGTACCGACCACGATCCGTCGAGAGCAGATGAAGCAGATTGCAAAGTAGTACAAAGTTGTAGGGAAAGCGATCCCGAATTCTGTCGTCAGAATCCAGCAACGGATTTTGAAGTGATTGTGCCCTTAGGTGCTGCGGGCTACACGATCAGTAACGCTTCGAATCTGAGCGGCAGGTCAGTCAGAGTATTCAATAGCAGTGATAGCTCTACTCACCACGGTCATCGTATGACCTACCGCCACCATAGGTGTCCTTCTCTGGGTAGCCGCCAGCTCCACCGCGGTCAGCTCCACCGCGGTCTTCACGATCGTATCCGTAGCCTCCTCCGCCACCGCGTCGGTCTTCGTTGCGGCTGCTGTAGCGATCCTCACGTCCGGAAGATGCGTAGCGATCAACGCCACGAGGAGCATAGTCATCGCGGTCGCGGCGTCCATAGCTGCGGTCATCGTGGCGATCTCCACCGTAGCGGGATCCGCGATAGTCGTCACGTCGGCCGCCATACCCTCCGCCGCGACGGTCATCGTACCTGTCGCCGCCGTAACGGCCACCGCGTGGTGGGCGACCACCAAACTCTTCTGTTTCTGTAAGCGGGGAGCGTGTCAAACGCTAGAAGGAGGACTTACCGCGCTTGGGAGGGCCAAAGTACTTGCCCGGAGTAGGTGTGCGAGGACGAGCACGGCGCGCCTTCTCGATGCTCAGAGTCCTGCCCTCGTAGACCTCGCCTTGCAAGCCTTCCTTGGCAGCGTCTGCTTGTTCCGGTGTAACCATCTTGACGAAGCCGAAGCCGCGGGACTCGCGGGTGTGAGGGTCGCGCATGATGTTGCACTTCTCGACGTCGCCGTACTTCTCAAACAGACGGGAGACTTCTTCTTCGGTGAGACGAGGGTGAATACCGGTGACGAAGAGGTTGGAGCCTGGGTTGCGAGCTCCCTCCTCGTCGTCATCAGCGCGTGGCTCCGGTGGTGGACCACTGTATTCAGTGAGCTCAATTTTCTCCAAGACGTTGACGAGGATTACGATGTACATACCGATTGCTCATGCGGTCACGGCCGTTCGGCGAAGCGCTGCGAGCTCTGGATCCGTCATCGCCGCGACGATCGGGGCGTGGTGAACGGCTTCGGTCGCGGTCATAGCCACGAGGCTCGTCTACGCGTTCTGAGCGTCAGCGAGATCTAAAGAAGCTGCTTGTAGAGAGATGAGAAGGTCGCATGTGTGACATACCGTCGTAGGCGCGCGGCTCAGTCTCGTAATCCATGGTTGACATGACCTGTGTGCTGTTCGGAAGGATTTATTTATTTGCTGCGTGGAGGAATAAGCGTTGAAAGGTGAGAGTGACAGCTGCGCTACAGCTAGGAGATAGCTCCGCACGACGTACTCTGTCAGTTGCGGGTCTCGACCGAACCAATGAAGCAGTGGTAGAAGAAAAGAGGAACTGTCGGAAGAGAAGATGAGGTGGCCGATTGTTGTGAGTGAGGTGAAGTCAGCCCGTCGCGAAAGATCCGAACCGAAAACGGGCAGAAAATTGGCGAGGCGCCGAATGCAAGGGGGCCAAGGCTGTGAAGTGAGGCTCAAACGCGAAACATCCGTGCAGCATCCTTCCAAGGCCAGAACCACTTTCAATAGTTATCTTCGCAATGCTCATGAACTCTATGAAGATGCTAAGTTTACAATGGTCAAGCAAGGCAACGGGCATTTCTTTCTAGACTTCAATCCCCATGTATTCAATTGGCCACTGCATTCAGTAAGCCTTGCCCCTCCTGTTCCGCCAGAGCTGCACACCGTGGGAGTCAATACGCACAGCGTGAATCCGGAGACTATCTATCTTTCATGGTTACAGGACGGTTGGCGTCGTGAAACTCGCGAAGAATCCGATACTCTGGAGCTGAGGAGCAGCAGGAATCCAGCTTCGTCAACGGCATATGGGCTGTTTCAGTGTAGAATTGATATACGGCCTCACGAGCGTAAGATTACGATTCCAGTCGAGTGGAGTGGAACCAAGGTACCTTGCGCAATATTGCAGGGTTTATCACTCACAACAGGAGATATTCAGTACATCTCAAACCGGAATTGGTTAAGCTTAGATGAGAAATTAATGATTTTCAATCGGGATGCACAACTGTAATGGCATTGGGCCTACCATACGACAAGATACAAGAAGAAAAGCAGACTGACGCCAGTATGGACTGGGATGACCAGTAGCACTACAAATTCGTCTCACACAACATCCATGGTGCAGCCTCTCCCATCCATCGAAAACAGATACTACTTAATGTTGAGTACCCGGCCAGCTCTTATGACAACCGCTTGGCACTCTGCGGCAGCATACAATGGTACGGCGAAAGACTTCTTGTACTTTGCCACAGCGGCGTCAACCTCCTTCGCCGATGTCACGTTCTGCCAACCCAGGTATTTTTCAGGCATGATGCGGCCGGGTACCGTGACGCACTTCTTCGCTGCGGCTTGGATGGCTGTCATGTCGTTGGCGACGGTCTTCAGAGTCTCGATATTCTTTAACGCCGACTTGACCGACTCGATCTCGCCCGCAGCACTGGCGACCTTAGCCAGGAAGCCATCGACATTCTTCTCGACCACCGCTTGCGCAGCCTCTGCCCACTCGACCCCCTTACTAACAGCAGGCGCAATCTCAGAAGCCAGTGAGCCCAACAATTTCTTGGCGTCCTCGCCTCTGCCCTGCGCTAACGCGGTCAGACCATCTGCCCACTCGGCATACTGCTTGCGCTTGCTGTCGACATCTTTGATAATCTGCACGGTATCTCCAATCTCTTTTATAGACTGCAGTTGGGTGATGAATCCAAGGGCCTGGCCAGAGAGGTACGACTTCATAGCTGCTTTAATCAGGCCTGTCCCAATGGAGCATTTCGCCTGGACGGACTGGACTTGCTTCTGAATCTCTGCAGTCGATAATCCAACGGAACACACAGCCTTTGCCGGCTCTCGAGCGCCTTCGCAGCATGTGGCGGTCAGTCTGTCGACCTCGCAAAATGGTAGGTCGATGCGTATTCCTTCACACGTGGTCGGTTTTTTAAGTTTTCCAATGTCGCAAAGCGACGCGACAATCGGATATTTTTTCTTGCACTTTTTGACGGAGCGGTCGACATCGATCTTGCATTGGGCAGCCCTGTCTCTCACTGCTTTCTTGCAGTATGCTACCTGCGTACGGACGCCTCGCTTGCAAGTGTCGATCACGGAGCTGATGATCGCCGGACAAAGCTTGGGCTGTTTGGCTACATCAACCTTGTTGACAGCCTTGGTCAGAGTCTTTACGTATCCGCTCCAAGCTTCTTCGTATGCTTTGAGGCCCTTGTCCTGGGCGAGCTGTGCCCAACGTCCCCGGGCTCGCCTTGCTTGTTTGTCTGCCTTGGTGGGAGCTGTTGACGAGAGGCCGGGAGCAGGTGGTATACCCTCCGCTGGTGTTTTGGACAAGTTAACGCCGTTTTTGGCTGCCAATTGATCGATTACGTGGTTCAGGTTGAAGAGAGTTGATCTGTTTGCTTCTGCCTCGATGAGATGAAGAAAGAGGGCTGGGTCCTGAGCATCTTTTGGTGGGCTTCGATTGAGATTACGCTTAGATTTGCGGGCCACTTCGCTAGAGGCAGCCGCACCGGTGGACCGAGATGCATCAGAAGAGTCAGAAACAGTCTCAGTGGCGGATAGGGATTCGTCGCCAGATCCAGTCTCGGCGGCGGACAGATCTTCGTCACCGACAGCAGTCTCTTCGTCAACAACACTCTCTTCGTCAACAACAGTCTCTTCCTCATCGACATTCTCTTCCTCATCGACAATCTCTTGCTCATCGACAATCTCTTCCTCATCAGCACTTTCCTTGTCAACAACAGTCTCTTCGTCAATAACATTCTCGTCGTCCACAACAGTCTCTTCGTCAGCAACGGTCTCTTCGTCAATAGGCTCTTCGTCGACAGCAGTCTCAGTAGCGGACAGCTCTTCATCGTCAGAAATGGTCCCGGTAGCGGACAGATCTTCATTGTCGGACACAGTCTTAGTGGCGGAATGAAATTGAACAGAGGTGTTGGAATATATCCTAGTGGCGGACATGACTGGGCTATAAGTGCCGTAAACAGTCCCAATGACAGGATCGAACTGGTGAGAGGTGTTGGAGACGGCCCCAACACACTCTGCGGCGATGAGTGTCACCTCGCGGCAACTCTCAACACCCCAGGAAACATCACACAGAACGTCGCATCTTACACCCTCGGCGACCCAGACACGGTGTTCCTGCGCCTCGACCGGCAGTCTCCAGTGCTTGCTGACATCGCCGTTGGCGTACCCCGTCGCCTTGTAGCCAGGCCTGCAGGCACAGGCCCCACGAGGGTTTGTTACTCTGGGGTCGGGAAAAATGCAGGTTGGTGCTGTTGAGGGGTCGCACTTGTTGTAGTGGGGGTTGCAGGCTTGGGGACAGCCTGAGGGTCCAGCAGTCTGCTCTCCGTTACCTAGACATCGAGGCTGGCTTCCATCGGCGCAGAGCAACAGTGTCCCGGCTAGACAGTCCGCTGAAGACGCGACTAGCTGAGCGAGAGCGAAAACAACGAATGTGAGGCGGTTACACAACAGAGGCATGTAAGAGTACTCGAGTAGGATAGCGTGGTATGGAATTATTCAAGACGGGCTTCACGCTCAGATTGAGTGAAAAATTCTGGGGAATAGCAGGTTAATAACTGAAACAAAGCCGGCGATACCGAAGATTTTGGCATAATAACGTGACCGTTGGTAAACTATAACGCGGCTTGCGCGACCCATTCTATCGAATAGGAAACTCTAGTTAGCGAAACACTGAGAGCGATCCCATAGGAAACATCGTAGCTTTGAAAATGTGAAGCTAAGAGCAATCCTACCCTCAGCTGGATAATGTGGAGCTGAAAGAAATCTATTCTCAGTAGCTGAAAAAGATGAAGCTGAGACCGTCTGTTCGAGGATGTGGTCCTCTTGCCATTTCAGTGGACAGACTCTCCACGATACCCCGTATGGCGTGATCAGTGGACGGTTCGTCTAGGTCCATCGGACGCGTGGACAGGTTTGGATCCTGTCAGTCAGACGAGGACTAACCCGTGCCCGCCTGACGGTATGCAATGGATGGCTGAGGCGTATCACGACAAACAGGGATGTATAGATCTTAACATGGTGGTGAGGCTGGACTCCTCTCATCACGTCGTCACCCAAAGTAGAGTGGACTCAGACGATTACCAACACTAAAAACTGCTGGTTGCTACCTTTTCAACCGACGCCTGATCAACTGAAAGCTTGCTTAGCTAGGGGAAGCAAGATAACAAGCTTCTATTTAGCTATCCGGAGCTTCAAATCTAATGTTGTTCTGTTAAAGTCGAGTTTAGGTTCAAGCTTATCGATTAGGCCGAGTGACTAGGTAGGATCAGGTTAGACGATCACATCTCGGAGCGTTCTCCGTAATCTCTTCAGCCTTGTCTCGCCCGGCACGCATATCCTCCAGACTCTCCTCCGATCGACGGGAGGTCTTCAACGAGGTCAGGCGTTCTACCGGCCATGCCGATTATGGAGCTGAGACATCAGCCGTTGGAGAATGCGGAGTTGGTGAGGAACTCCATCCTCAGCCGTTAGAGAACGCGGGGACTGCAAGCATGATTCTTCGTCCCGCGATCGCCGAGAACAAAGCTGCCAAGTTAGATCCTGGAGATCATGAGATGTGGAAGACGAAACACCTGGGCAGTTCAGCCCCGTGAGTCTTGGCATTACTACGATTACATGCTTTCTACCAGTCTACAACAACTTACAGGCTTTGAGTGAGCCCATGATGCAGAGCTGAAAGACATCTTCGATCTAGGCCCTACTATGCCGAAGGCTGAAACCGGTGTGGTTATTTTACTTCAGCTCTATCTCATCTTGAGAGCGAAGAACCCAGTTCGAGCCGTTGCATTTTCCGAGCGGGGTCCTTCTGCTATCTCAATGGACAGATCTCCATGACATGCCGCGGCCGGCTGAGGTCGAGATCAAAGCCATTTCGATAATCTGATCATCCCGGTAAGTTTTTAAACCCAGCTCTTCGTGTTCACGCGTGATCGAGATTCAGCTGGCTCCAGCACACTCGCATTTGAAAAACACGGACATATCACTTCTCTATATCTCAGTCGCCGTTCAAGCTGTTCTATTACCGAGCCCTTTGCCTTTAATCATGACTTCCAAAACCATTCAGCTCCTCCACGGGCCGGGAAGATACGCCTCTATCATAACAGCTTTGTGTTTTACTACTCTGTCGTTGGCTTGCTTAGCCCTTGTACTACTGTCCGGGCTCAAAACACCCAAGGGGAAGCTTGGTGGCCTTAGCTTTGCAGTGGTAATTCCAACGAACCTGTTGACAGCCGCCGTGCTGACCGGTGCCAGATCGACAGCTCCAAAGTCGAGGTGAACACCAACAACGACGTGTTTCGAGGCCTCCCCGACACGAACGACTATTCAAAGCAGAAGGACTTCTACGCATTCTATCTCTGGAATTACTGCAGCGGCAAGCTCCAAAACGGCGATTACTACGTCGACTTCTGCTCCCAACCTCGTCAATCTCTCTATGATCTCTTCAGATTCTGGAAGGTCTGGGGCGCAAGTGTCCACAAGGAAGGAACGCGTTTCTATTGGCTAGAAAAGGGGCCGAAGCTACTTTACATCTCTTACATCGTTGCTGGAGGCACGAATGCCCTCGAGTTTCTCGCAGGCGTCCCTTCACTCTACACCAACAGGGTCAGCCGAGTAACGGTGGTTCTTGCCTCGGTAGGACTTCCCATACCTAACAACAGACACCATGTACTAAATTAAGCCTTAGGCTGCATCTATTTCCTTGCTCGCAACGGCCATTCTCGCCCAAGTCACTTACGGCCAGCTTATCAGCCGTGCAGACGACGAAGATATCCCTATTACCGCCAAGAAAGTCGGCCAGATCCTGTATGCCGCCAACTGGGTCGGGACAATCTTTTCTTTGTCTGCTCTGGCGACTTGGTACCATGTCTTAACCGGTAACACGGTTAAGAGGGCACCTACAATGGAGGCAACTAGCAACAAATATGTGCAAGTGGTGGAGGCGGATGGTCATGTTCAGCCTTACTTTGTGGAGTCACCGGTGCGGAAACGGACTTTCTCGAAGTGGCCGCAGTTTTAAGCAAGTGAGGATGTCAAGCTTAATCGTTGAGGATGAGCAGCTATCACTTTGTTCGCCATTTATTTTCTGCAAAGACTTGTCGACGGCTCATCTCACCAGAAAAGCCCACGCAGACAACAGAGGGCGAGCAAAGAGACGGCGACATACTTGGGTAAGTATGTTATCGCTTCAGTCCGAACTGGCGTGCTGGTTGCATCTGTCTTATAGTGTAGCTGGTCACTGGAGCCACGGATCTCACTTATAACCTTGGTATATCTCCGTCGGGATATAGCCCTAGCGACTTGATGGCAATAGGGTTCTGGGGATTCCAATGGGTCTTGTTTCTCTTTCCAGCCTTTATGTAGCTCCAGAACACCTGTACTTTAGAAATGCCGAGATCGAATTTGATTTACTTTATCGACCACAATCGGCAAAGCTTCCATATCGATGCTGCGAGATACAACTCGCAAATTCGGCCACCAGATATCTTAATCACCGGCTCGGAGCTTCAGAGCGCCAATCTGCCGCACTCGAGCTCGCACTCGATTCGTGCCTAGCCCACAGCCCGTCGAACCCACCGCTTACAGACTCCCCCTCGCCTTCCCAAAAGCGGCCAACAACATCGCCGCCTCCGCGCCTCCCGGCCGTTCCCAGAAATCCATCCCAACCTCTGCCACTTGGCCCATTGCCGCCCTATAGCAACTCTCCAGCATGCCCTCGAAGCGGCCACCGAGCTGTTCCCCCAGCAGCCGCATGCCGGTCGCCAAGACGATGAAGACGTGGAATTTCGCTGTCTGGAGCGAATAGGGCGTCGAGGAGAGGATAGTGGCAGCCGTCAGGTCGAGCTGAGCATTCGGGCTGGGTAAGCTGTAGACGGCGTTGAGACAAAACTGGAAGGTTGATCGATCCAGGTAAGGTTGCTCGTTAGAGAAGTGGGAGAAGTACGCTTGCGAGATGGTCTCTGCGTCTGATTTGGGAGGTAGGACGAGGGGTTCGCATATTTTTTGTTGTGCTTGCGCTGCCGGCGGCTCGAACCGGGGTGTTATATCTTGCGATGTCGAGGTTTGGATATATGGGTAGCTTGCACCGGAAACCTGGAAGTCGAAGTAGCCGTGCTGCTGCTGCTGCTGATCTAAAGAATCAAGGTCGAATGGACAATTCAGGTCGAAGCCCATGAACTCTGAAGAGCCAGATGATCGCCGAGATACCGGTTGGCTGATGCTCAGGCGGTTGAACTCGTCATCAACTGCAGGATCGCCACAGAAATACGGCTGGATAGGAGGCGAAAACGCCTGGTCCCATGCGGGAGAGAGTAATGGCGACGGCGCTAAATAAGGATCCGGGGTTGAAGCTCTGGAGGATGCAGAGAGCGTAAGCGACGAAGAGCGAGAAAACTTGTGTGAAGCTCCAGTCTCGCAGCTCGTGATCTCGATTAAGGGAACGTCCAGGCTGCAAGCTGAGAGGTTGGCACCGGCCCCATCCTCAACTGAACACGACCGCGAACGGTAGCGGCTAAAGTCGGTGTCCACGTGGAGTTGAGGCACTGGACTCCGTTCTCCCAAAGAGATTGACGTTGGTTCCCACTGAATATTGTAATCTTCGTCGGAATTGTGCTGCTGATTCAGCTCGCTTTCTGCGAGCCTTGCTTCCAGGCGCCGAATTCGCTCTTCCAACACGGGCTGGGCCTCACTGAACGTTGAACGTCAGCCAGCTGTTTTGAGAGAAGGATCGATCGCAGACGATGAATAGAGGTTGGGTTATGCAAGTTTTCTGTGCATGCGAACAACGCTCCGCCACATATTCTGTACACTTCGTGCTTGTGAAAGGAGATGGGCATTGCTCACCTCCTAGTCCTATCCCGCTCCCGTTTATGCCTATGACACGCCAAGGAGAAGCGCGCACACGTCGCGCATGGTGTATTCCCATCGCAACGAATCTTGCGCCTCCGACATCGCTCACAGGCGCTCAATACTGGTGTTCTGCGCAGGCCTACAGCTGGTGTTGATGAGCGCGACCACTCATTCGGCGTTGCGCCTACAGTTGCGCGTCTCGGCTTGGCAGACTCATGGCCTCCTTCTAAGCCGCTGCTCTCCATTATTGGCGCCGTGGAGCTGTGTATGAATGTTTTGCTGCTGTTGCCGTTGCGCATATCGGCAAGTCGAGTATAAGATGGCTTTCAGTCGTTCTCTCGGCTGGAGCATGTGCAACCCACGATGCCCCGCCATTTCGCGTCTTCCTTGTCTCTTAATGAACATCATCGCACAGAGCAGTCGCCTCACCTCATTGAGGCTGTGTCCGGCAGAAGTAGGGCAATAAGGTAAGTAGTTCCTTTCATACCCTGCTGGGCCAAGTAGTGTGCATCACGAGATGCACCGAGCCGCACATATGCCGCAAGGAAAGCAGTGGAAATTCGGGATCTTCGCTCGGACAATGTCGCGATAAATGTTCAATTATCCCAGCAGTTCGGATCCGCACCCCGCTCATGCAGTGCATGTGAAGAGGAAGAACTTACTCGAGCGCGGGAGTCGTTTCCCGGCGTCTTTGCGGAGCGGCATGAACGCCGCACCCCTCCACACCATGGCTTCGCAGCTAACCTCTTACTGCAGGTCGTTGTCTTACAGAAACACTGCCACCGCCACTGTGGTCTGAGAGGACTATCGAATGCGAAATGGAACAATTCTGATGATGAAGAACTGACAGTTGAGACGCCGCTATTCAAGCATTCCGGCTGGCTGGCGGATATGTTTCCGCGCTTCACAGCCAACCTGGCAGGAGATGTGTTCGAGGGATAGCGTAATAGGAGATAGACTTGAAGAACTGCATGATAGGAGACATGTTTAAAACAGTGCAGTCGGCAGATGGGCACCTAAGTTAGGACTTTCCATCGTGATGGTAGAACCGTACGGCGCGATCAAAGGGGTGCAGCAGGCCTTCTGAAGAACCAGGAGCGGACGTGCTCGGAAAAGCATACAGCACCAGAACCTCGGTAATCTATATCCTTTGTCGAGATGGCGCGCTGGCGATCTCGGTCATGAATGACCTGGAAGTGGTTGAGGGCCTTGTGCGGGAACACCTGCGGGAGGAAGAAATAGCTAGAGCAGGAGCTGCTTTGCCATGACAATCATGAGTTGTTTTTCACCAAACAGCTCTCAAGTCATAAGGTGCGACGATATGCGGAAGGGATTGCTCTCTTGTATGAAATCAGATAATTGCAGGCGCTGTTGCCTTCTCGCTCTAAAGGTATCAAAGTATTTACACAGCCACAGCCAAGGTTGACTCGGGCCACACCGCTATGCACCGCCCTGCACCGCCACGCACCGCCACGCATCTACGAAACATAATTCCCCTCGCTCAGCCTCGTGATCCTCAATGTCACTGCTACGAGCTGACAATTCTGGTGATACTCTGCTGCGGCAACGGTCGATCTGGATGAGTCTCGACGTAGACGACACCAATGTCCTTCTCGGAACCGAGCTCCGAATCCGAGGTCTTGGTGATGAGCTCGGTCCTGGAGTTGAGAGCCGACGGCGCGCCGAATATCTCCTCCATATCTTCGAGGGTCTTGCCCTTGGTCTCTGGTATGCACCACCAAGCCCAGAAGCCCATGAGCACCATGAGGGAGGCGAAGAAGAAATATGTGCCATAGCCGAGGCTGGTGATCATGTACGGTGTCGTGCGCGAGACGATGAAACTCCATAGCCACTGGTCTGCGGTCGTCAAGGCCACGCAGAGCATGCGGATGTCGATGGGGAATATCTCAGAGCAGTAGACCCACGTGATGCCCTGCCAGGTGGCGCAGTAGATAAGGCCGTAAAGGTAGACGCAGACCATGGCCAAGTAGCCCCAGCCATTGCGAGACGTGTCACCGCGTGCGGCAGCGCCAGCTGGATCGGCCTTGAATACGTATCCGCCCAGGTACCTGTTCTTACTGTTAGATTGCGTTTCTCGAGGCTGTGCTCCAAGGGCGACTTACCACATAGGGATGCTGCCGATGAAAGCACCGTAGATCAGACCGCTGCGGCGACCAACCTTCTCCACAAGCCACAAACTGAAGATGATCATGCCGAGGGTCTTGGCCACGCCGTAGAACCCGGTCGCGAAAAGCTTGGTGTCGGTGCCGGTAATGCCGAGTGTTTCAAAGATGCGGGGTGAGTAGTAGGTAATAATATTGACACCAGTCATGTTCTGGCAGGCCATGAGAGCAAGACCGATGGCAATTCGGTTGCGTGTACCCTTCTGGAAGAGCCGACGGCAGTAATATTTGAAGGTGTGCTTCTCGCCAGGTGGTGGCTTCCCTATTTGATTCTGCTCTTGGATGTCCTGGAGTTCGCGTTGGATGTAATAGTGGTCTTGCGGCAGCTTTCGGATCCAGCTGAGAGTCTTGACAGCATCCTCCCAGCGATCTTTCTTGACGTACCAGCGCGGCGATTCAGGGCACCAGAAGATTCCACACATTAAAAGAAAACCGGGAAGTAGTTGAAGGCCTAGTGGCACAATCCATTGGGTGTGGCCTTGCACGGGGATCGTTCGGTGTACAATGTAGTTAATCCAAAAGCCAAGCATGCCACCACCTTGAGATAAGATTTCGAAGATGCCGACCAGGCGACCACGGATAGACGGCGGGGCGGTTTCAGCGATGTAGACCGGGACGATGAGGGAGACGGAGCCGATACCGAAGCCAGCAATGGCTCGGCCAGTGTAAATCATGGCAAGACGGCCGCCGGCCGCAGTCTGACTACGTTAGAAAAACGGAGCTATTGAAAGGATTTTGGCTTGCTTACCATAATCGAACCACCTAAGAGGAAGATCGCCGCAGCAAACATGATGGCCCTCCTGCGGCCAAATTTTTCCGCCAAGGGGAATGTTAAGAGAGCTCCAAAGAAAGTCCCAGCCTGGAATGTGGAGACGATGTTTCCTTGAAGAGTATCTCGCGCTCTCGCGCTGACACCTTCGAGACCAAAGTCTCGTCTGAAGGAGTCGAGCGCCATTGCGCCGCCGATAACGCTGGTATCGTAGCCCATGGCAACTGATCCCATGCTCATGACTGTACTAATGTTAGTAAATGCCGAACGGGAAGTCGCCTGAGACACTCACTGATGGCCATAAGGTGCACTCTGTAGTTCCTGACCTCTGGGGGGTCGTCATTGTTGTCGGCGTGTAGATTGAACATCTTGACTGGATGTGAGGCCGAACGTTCGTAAGATCACTTTGATTTGCTCGGAGGCTGTATCCAAGGTGCGATCTGTGCTCGATGACAAGACCTGAGACGAGGCCGTGGTCCCATCATAATATAGAATTCCATGTCCGGCCAAGAATCTGGGGTAGGATCTGCGACTGTGTGAGGGTGGCATATGCATGTGCGGCGAGCGACGCCGACTGTGCATGTCGCGGATCAGGATTTATCGTGCTACCCAGTAGAAGACGAGCGGACGGACTGTTGGGTGATACAGATGGGGACTTTGGCCTCGTGGTTGCTGCACGAGCGGGGCCTCGGGCGGGCCTGTTTCCCTTAACTGCCGTCGGTCTGGCTATCCCATGCGGGTGCGGAGCGGATATGGAGTAGCGCATGGTGATTGGCCGTTTAACGTTACTCTGTCCAATGGCGATAGAACGGTCAGATGCCGGCACTTTGAACAGGTGGGGTGTTTTGGTCTATCACAGGTTAGAGCTGTCCTCGGTGCTCTCACGGAATAACTACTCAGGATCAACTACGTTTCCCGTTGCTTCGGAGCAGAACACCGAGCAGCCGAGCAGCAAGGGCGGGTGAAGAAGACGATGTCCCGCTTGTGCGCTCGAAAGATGTGCATGGAGCGGCCACCTCTAATTCAGTCCGTCCTGGTTGCATGAGAGGTGAGCTCGAGGCGAGGCAAAGCGGCGATCACGGAGGTGGAGTTTTTGGCAGGGTCTTTAGCATCGCCAATCGGTTTGTGCTTGCGTGGCATTTGACATGTAGTCCAACTCTTACAAGCAACAACAGACAGATGTAGGTTCGACTGTGTCCGGGCTATCACCTGTAAGTACATCATCATGACAGTGTCGTTGGTCGCGCAATCGAGATTCGCAGAGTGACGAAGTCGCATCGCGTTACAGCTGATGATGCCGCACGTGATCATTGTTTCTCCGGCCGGAAGCTTCATCCAATGACAATGGAACGGTTGTCAACGGCCGGCACTAGGAACATCCTGGGCATTCTGCATATGCTACAGATTCTGCTGCAGAGGCGGGAATATGGTGGGGCAACGAGGCTGAGCAAAAAAGCCCTTTCGGGTTAACCCGTTTCGCGATCGCTTTCTGGAAGGTTGAGAGAAGTCGCCGATATGCAAGTAAAGCCACGCGCCAAGAGGTCCGTCGCCGCCTCCGTCCGTGGTTCCAGGAACCACTCCGTTAACCTCACCAGGCGAACACAGCCTCCCAACTGAGAAGTTTTACCACACAAACCCCTAGCCGCGGCGGAGCTCCAGTGGAGGTCACGGTGAGGCGATTTCCGCACAGCCCCCCTTGGTGTATTATGTATATCCATCCAGCCGCGACCATGGAGGCCGCATCTCTTCAACCATCAACAGAAGCCGTTCATTACTTTGTCAAGGGCAGCAACACTGCATCGTTTGCCCGTCATGGCCTCTTATACCACAGACAACCGACACGATAGACCCACTGTGCCGCAGATCAACGTAGAGAACACAGTATGTCTTGAGTTTCCGCTTACCGCTGCTACTAGGCTGACGAGACATTCGCAGAACATAGATGATGCAAATGAAATCCAGCCATCTACAGGCTCTAGCTCGGCGTCACCTACCGCACGAGGACATTCCCTTAGTGTCAGCACTGTTGCGGGCAGAGACCGAGCGCTCAGCGGCAGCACTGCAACCCCTCCGAGCCCGCATCTCGAAGTTCCCAAGTCGGCCGGCGGCGTCTCCAGCAGCTCCTCGAGTATTCTCTCCTTTGGCGACCGGCAAGATGCCCTGCATCCCGATCCAGGAACCGAAGCCGACTTCACGCGAGAGAACAATAAATTTGCCTTCGCACCTGGACATTTGAACAAGCTTCAGAACCCAAAATCGTTAAATGCATTTGTTGCGCTTGGTGGCCTTCCTGGCATTGAGCGCGGTCTTCGAACCGATATCGATGCCGGTCTCAGTGCAGACGAGACGCACTTGGACGGTACCGTAAGCTTCGACGAAGCCACCGGTTACTACAAGAAAGTGCGAGAGCTTGGCAGCGGCGCAGCCGCCCTTCCACGTCCGCTGGCGGTCAGACAAGCGACTTCGCCACCAGCAACTGGTGGCTCGTCCGAGGCCTACAGCGATAGAATACGCGTCTTCGATCGAAACGTCCTTCCTGCTAAGAAACCCACACCGCTCTGGCTGCTCATGTGGAGAGCCTATCAGGACAAGGTTTTGCTTCTGCTGACCGGCGCTGCCGTGATCTCCTTGGCCCTGGGCCTTTATGAGACCTTCGGCGTCGAGCATCCGCCTGGTTCTCCGCCCCCGGTGGATTGGATTGAAGGCGTCGCCATATGTGTTGCGATCATCATTGTCGTCCTCGTTGGATCGCTGAACGACTACCAGAAGGAACGGGCCTTTGTCAGGCTCAACGCTAAGAAAGAGGATCGCGAAGTCAAGGTTATCCGATCTGGCAAGTCTTTCATGATCTCTGTGCACGACATTCTCGTTGGCGATGTCCTTCATCTCGAACCAGGCGACCTTATCCCAGCCGACGGTATCTTTATCAGTGGCCACAACCTCAAATGCGACGAATCGTCTGCGACTGGAGAATCCGATCAGCTCAGAAAGACCGGTGGAGAGCAAGTCTTGCAGCTCCTCGAACAGGGTCATACGGATCTGCACGACATGGATCCATTTATCATCTCGGGTGCCAAAGTTCTCGAGGGCGTCGGCACTTATCTAGTTACCTCGGTCGGTGTCAATTCTAGCTACGGCAAGATCTTGATGGCTATGCGACAGGAAATGGAACCTACGCCGCTCCAGATCAAGCTCGACGGACTCGCTTCAGCCATTGCAAAGCTCGGCACAGCCGCAGCTGGTCTGCTGTTCTTCGTCTTGCTCTTCCGCTTCCTCGCCGGGTTGTCATCGAGCCCTCTTTCGGCCCCCGAGAAGGCTTCGCAGGTCACTGATATCCTTATCGTCGCCATCACGGTCATCGTGGTCGCTGTGCCTGAGGGACTGCCACTGGCAGTCACCCTCGCGCTCGCTTTTGCCACTACGCGCCTGGTCAAACTTAACAATCTCGTCAGAGTCCTCAAATCTTGCGAGACGATGGGAAATGCGACCACTGTGTGCTCTGACAAGACGGGAACACTTACCACCAACAAGATGACAGTTGTTACTGGAACCTTTGGAGAGGACTCTTTTGACGACAAGAACCAGACTGGCGACGAGCGACGTTCAGCGGCCTTTGGCCAAAGCCTCGACGCAGCGACGAAGAAGCAGTACCTCGAGGCTATCGCGATCAACTCAACCGCCTTTGAGGGTGAAGAGGATGGTGTCCCCACATTTGTCGGCTCGAAGACCGAGACCGCCCTGTTGACTTTCGCACGCGACGTTCTTGGTATGGGATCGCTCGCACAGGAACGTGCCAACGCCGACCTTGTTCAGCTGATGCCTTTTGATTCTGGCCGCAAATGTATGGGAGCCGTGCAGAGGCTTCCGAACGGCAGTTTCCGCTTTCTCGCCAAGGGTGCTTCTGAGATTCTTCTTGGACACTGTTCTTCGGTCGCGACTTCCTCCGGTATCGCCCCTATGGATGCGTCTCAGCGCGAAAAGTACGAGGCAGTCATCGACTCATACGCAAAGCAATCTCTTCGCACCATTGCCCTCATCTATAGGGATTTCCCTCAGTGGCCGCCCGCAGGCGCTCAATCTTCTGAAGATCCCAAGACGGCCGATTTCGACCTTGTTCTCACAGACATGATCTTCTCAGGCGTGGTCGGCATTCAGGACCCTGTGCGACCTGGCGTGCCTCAAGCTGTGGCCAAATGCCTTCATGCTGGTGTCACGGTTCGCATGGTTACTGGAGACAACCTTGTCACCGCCAAGGCCATCGCTACTGACTGCGGCATCTATACTGGCGGCACGGTCATGGAAGGTCCTGTTTTCCGCAAGCTGAGTGATCAGCAGATGAAGGAGACACTGCCGACGCTCCAGGTTCTCGCGCGCTCCTCCCCAGAAGACAAGCGTATTCTCGTTACCCGGCTTAGGGAGATGGGTGAGATCGTCGCAGTGACCGGTGATGGAACGAATGATGGACCAGCGCTCAAGGCTGCCGATATTGGTTTCTCTATGGGCATCGCTGGTACCGAAGTCGCTAAGGAGGCTTCCGCTATCATTCTTATGGACGACAACTTCGCATCGATCCTCACCGCCCTTATGTGGGGACGCGCTGTCAACGATGCTGTTCGCAAATTCCTCCAGTTCCAGATCACGGTTAACATCACCGCCGTACTGTTGACCTTTGTGTCTGCGGTCGCGAACCCAGACATGCATTCCGTCCTTACCGCTGTACAGCTGCTCTGGATCAACCTTATCATGTAAGTTGTCGACTGCCTCTAATCAAGAACGATATACTGATATTTGTCGCCAGGGACTCGCTAGCTGCACTCGCTCTCGCAACCGACGCACCAACCGAAGAGATCCTCGACCGCAAGCCGACTCCCCGAACGGCGCCCCTCATTTCCATCACCATGTGGAAGATGATCATCGGACAAGCCATCTTCCAGCTTATCGTGACCTTCGTGCTCTACTTCGCCGGTCCCAAATTCCTCAACTATCCGACCGCTGAGCTCAACTCCGTCATCTTCAACACCTTCGTCTGGATGCAGATCTTCAACGAGTTCAACAACAGGCGCCTGGACAACAAGTTCAACATCTTCCAGGGCATGCACAGGAACTACTTCTTCATCGTCGTCAACTGCTTCATGGTCGGTGCCCAGGTCGCCATCGCTTTCATCGGTGGCAGGGCTTTCTCGATCGTCCGCATCAACGGCGAGCAGTGGGCTATCTGCATCATTGTTGCTGCATTCTGCCTGCCGTGGGCGATCGTCATAAGAACGTTCCCGGATTGGCTATTCGAGCGCATTGCCAAGTTTGTCGGCAAGCCGGTCGTCGTGGTCTACCGACCTTGCGCACGCTTTACGCACCGCGTCAGTGCCAAGCTGCACCGCAAGAAGAAGGGTGGAAGCGCGGACGAGGATGGTGTCGGACTGAGTGACACCCCGTCCACCGTGTCCGTTCCTGCTATCGAGACTACGGCCCCGGGTGATCTTGAAAAGGGCCGTGCGTAAATCTAAGTGTGGCTTCGCATTATCGGATACATGGAGCACTGAACTAGAGAATAGACTTCCCGGGTTAGAGGAGCATATCTAGGGCGTTGTGGGCGTTGCGAGTATTGATTGGCATTGGGGCGTTTCGGTTGCTTAGTGACTTCGGTTGGGGCCTGGATTAGATAGTCGCCCCGATGATACCATAGAACTGCATGAATCGGCATCGTCGGCTGTAGAATAAGATAGCATCAGAAAAACATCTTCAACTTATTTACTAGTGTTCATTTCTTGCAAGTCTCGAGTGGCCTGATCCGAGATGTACTTCTGTTGCCCTAAGAAGTAGGAGAAGGGCCTCTGTTTGTTGTGGTGAACATAACTTGATAATCATTTCTGGCGACAGCTGGTGCCATTGATGGCGAAAATTTTGTGTTTCGCTAGAAAACAAGCTGTTTCGCCAGCATTTCTTACCAGTAGATTCGATGCGACTCTACAATGTAGCAGGACATGGGATAGAAATCCGGGTAAAAGTACTCGCAATGACCGTGTCTCGATTTACGCAAAAAATTATAAACAAGAGGTGCGCGTCCGAGTCCAACAAATCGTGGGTGGAGCAAGAAAACAATTCCAGCTCCGGACAGCAGTATTCCCCCAACCTCACGAGCTTTCCATCCTCCTGGCTTCTGAACCCCTTTCTCCCCCCCCTTTTTTCCCCATCCTCCCCAACTCCATCGTCCTCTCCTCCCGCCTCTCCTCTACCCCAACGACTCCAAAAGCCACAACCCCCACCCACCCTTCCATATTCCCATGTCCCGACGCAGCGCGCCTCCAACCAGCGCCAGACCGTCAGCCCAGCCGCACAGGCTCGCAACCATCCTATCACTCCACTCCACTCCCAGCACCATCCCCCATCCCCCATCCCCCCCTTTCTCGCGCCAGCCCCCCCGCGACGCGCGGCTCCGCGCAGCAAGAGGGAAGTGTCTGTCTGTCAGTCTGTCAGCCAGTGCCAGTGCAAAACCATGCCGCGTTCCGAACCCGCGAGCCGCCTCGCACAACGTGCGGTGGGAGACAGGCCGCTAGTGGGCACGAACGACGTGCTTAGGCGGCGGATACCCCGATGGTGTGGAGGGCCTTACGCACATGATGTTCAGACACTGCTGCCCCCGGCTGTGCGGGGACGTCGGGTTGTGGTGGTGGTGTTAGGAGGGGAGGGGACTCTGGGGTAAGCGTGGTAGAAGGGCAAGAGAGTGGTTCTTGAGATAGGTCGAGGGCACGAGAGTGGCGTTGAAAGTCGTAGACGCTTTGAGGGGGGGAACTAAGGGGACAGATGTCGCTGTTTCAGCATAGCTGGTCCCGATGGTCGAGAAGATGGAAGTTCGGTTACGTTGGGAGCCGGCGAACTGTTTCCTTTTTCCAAATACCTCCGCTCTACGTTTGGCAGTAAGGAAAGGCGTATCTGAGGTTCCACAAGAGACGCATCCTCACGGGATATCGTAGCAGCTTTGCTAGGCTTTGGACGCGGTATATAACGGGTGTAGTCGTGATGATGATGATCGACATGCCTACCTGATGATATGACAACCCATGCAGCCTGTTGATCACGCCTGCATGGGCCCTATCACGCGTTTCAATACGACTAGACATTTGAATGACAACGAAGAGCTTTAGTATGATATGTGTTTTAATGTTCGCTGATGCTAGTCGTCATTATTTTGAGAGAGCCATAATATGAGCTCGAAATCGTGGCTAGGGTACATGGCATGCAAAACGACCCAGCATGTCGCACAGATAAGCCACCCAATAGCCGAACCGCAAAACGCCCCTAGCCAGCGCGGCCGATTGCAAAGGTCGGAGAAAGCCGAAAACAGAAGCCGTGAGTGCCGACGTGGGCAATGTGAGGAAGCATGCAGGACCCGGGAGCAAATCAGGATCCGGGAGACAGCGGTACAGCGCGACAACCGGGAGCTCACATCTCCATCGCGTCGGCGTCGGCGAAGGCCGGCATGTCCGGATGGTGCGGTATCATGGCCTTCCGAGTATAATGCGGGCCTTCGATAACGGGTGGCAGCGCGCGCAGATTCTGCAGCATCTGCTCCTGGCCGCTCGCCACGACCGAAGCGGTGGTCATGTCGTCCTTAAGCAGCAGGAATTGCTCCCCGCCGAAGAGTTGGGATGTGGCTCTGACGAGAAACACTCCGAGAGCTTCGTTGTGCAGGAGTAGCTGTGCGCCGGAGAAGGGGAAGTCGCTGTTTACGATGGGGGCGTACGCCTTGGCCATGATGCGCTTGTTCGAGTCGAGCGACATGTCTCTCCAGCTGACGCCGAGGTAGTACTGCGCTTGGTCGAACGCGCCCGAAGTGCTCGTTGAGGCGCTTGCAGAGAGCGAGTTGAGGGTAGATGGCCCAGATTCGGTGGCGCTCTTGCGCTGCGACTTCCGCGACGCGATTCGAGGACGCGACGCTGCCGCCTTTCGGACCTTTTCGGCTTTCTCGAGCTCTTCGTCGACCCACGTGCCGGCCTGCGATTCGGCGGAGATGCTGTAGCCGGGCTCGCCAGGGTAGATGAGAGTCATGCCGGGGCCGTAGATGGGTTCGGGTTTCGGCTGACGCGGAGCAAGGGTCGAGCCGTCGGCTAGCAGATCGGCGGGCTCGTCGGCGATGTCGTCTAGGGAGCGCTTGCGGCCGGCCAGTGAGGAGGATGCGGCGTGGTGATTGAGGGAGGGTCTTAGTAGTTTTCGAGGACGGTTGTTGGTTGGTGCTGACGGGGAGTGACTGGCAAACACGGATGAGGGATGCGGCGCATGAGTGAGAGTGTCGAAGTACGAAGGCTGAGGCGGAAGAACCAGCATAGGTGAGAGTGAGGCGTGGTAGTTCAGAGCCATGATGTCTGCTTGGTTAGTAGGTCAATGCTTAGATTAAAGAAAACTACGAAGCTGGATGATCAATGACAAGAGATGGCAGCACCGACGCGTAGGCGCGTGATGGCGTGGTGATTGCGGAAGGGTTTGGTGATGTGGATAGAGGATGGATGGAATGGAGGAGATGAAGGATGCTGGGAGGGTTGGATGAAGAGAAGCGGAATTAAATGTGTGGAAGAAAGAGAGAGAGGCGAGCTGCACTCAGGCTTACGGCAGGCTCGGCGCAAGATGCAGGAGAGATGGAGGATGGAGTGGGCGCGGTCTGGGTTTTGAAGATGCGGCTGGCCGGCAGCTGGCGGAGGTCAGCCAAATGCTTCTGTATGGCTGGAGAGCCCTGTGTTTTAGTCCAAGCTCTACTCCGGAACTGGTGACGCTAAGACAGCGCTAAGACAGCGCTTCTCCAGATCTGCAGCGGCTTGGCTGAGCTCTTGCTTGCGCAACCGTGCTGCAAAATACGCCCAGCTGTGGCTGACCTGCGTGCGGCATCGGCGTCTCTTTTCTCCGCTTATCCTTCAGCTAGCAGGATCGGCTCAGACTGCCCCTTGAGAGTCGGCAAAAGCTGCCGTGGAAAACTTTCGGCGCGCTTCAGATACACGACGCGCTTTTTGGTGGAAGAGCTCGAATTGCAGCAGAGCCGCAAGAACCCACACACAACAATACATACAGCAGTGAGCCTCGATACCACAGACGCTCTTCCCGCTATCAGCCGCCAAGATGCAGGCCCCTGTCGTGGTTATGAACACCCAGACCGGGGAGAGGCAGTTTGGCCGCAAGGCACAGCTGTCCAACATCACCGCAGCAAAGACGTGAGACATCGTATGGCCTGTTTCGGACAACAACTGACTCTACCACAGAGTAGCCGACATCATACGGTCATGTCTGGGCCCCAAAGCCATGCTCAAGATGCTGCTGGACCCCATGGGCGGCATCGTGCTCACCAACGACGGCCACGCCATCCTCCGAGAAATCGAAGTCGCCCATCCCGCCGCGAAGAGCATGATCGAACTCTCCCGGACGCAAGACGAAGAGGTGGGTGACGGTACGACGACGGTGATAATATTAGGTACACCCTACCACACCCCACATTTCCTCCACACCACAGGCAAGATTTAACCCCCAGCCCAGCCGGCGAGATCCTCGCGCAAGCCCTCCCCCAACTCGAGCGCAACATCCACCCCGTCGTCATCATCTCCGCCTTCAAGCGCGCCCTCTCCGACGCCCTCGAAATCATCCGCGAAGTGTCCGTCCCCGTCGACGTCAACGACGACAAGGCAATGTACACCCTAATCTCCTCCTCCATCGGCACGAAGTTCATCTCGCGCTGGTCGGATCTCATGTGCAACCTCGCGCTCAAAGCCGTGCGCACCGTGTCCTTCGATGCCGGCGGCGGGCGGCAGGAAGTCGACATCAAGCGGTACGCGCGCGTGGAGAAGATCCCGGGCGGCGAGATCGAGGAGTCAAGGGTTTTGGATGGAGTGATGTTGAATAAGGATATCACGCATCCGAAGATGAGGAGGAGGATAGAGAACCCGAGGATTGTGCTGCTGGATTGTCCGCTCGAGTATAAGAAGGGAGAGAGCCAGACGAATATCGAGATTAGCAAGGAGGAGGACTGGAATCGGATATTGCAGATTGAGGAGGAGCAGGTCAAGGCGATGTGCGACGCTATCATTGCCGTGAAGCCCGATTTGGTCATTACGGAGAAGGGCGTAAGCGGTAAGTCCGATCATCCTTCAGACCAGAACGTAGCGGCCTCCACCCGCCAACTCCCTTCCCATCTCGCACTCCGCCGCTCAATCTCAAGTCCCTAACACCACCACACAGACCTCGCCCAACACTTCCTCCTCCAAGCCAACATCACCGCCCTCCGCCGCGTCCGTAAAACCGACAACAACCGCGTCGCCCGCGCCGTCGGCGCGACGATCGTCAACTCCGTCCAATCCCTGACCTCGGCGGACGTCGGCACCCGCTGCGGCCTCTTCGAGATCTCCAAAATCGGCGACGAATACTTCACCTTCCTCACAAAATGCCGCTCCCCGAAAGCCTGCACGATACTTCTCCGCGGACCCTCCAAGGACATCCTCAACGAGGTCGAGCGCAATCTGCACGACGCGATGGGCGTGGCCAGGAATGTGGTATGGCAGCCGCGACTGTGTCCCGGCGGCGGCGCAACAGAGATGGCCGTAGCCGTCGGGCTGCAGAAGCGCAGCCGCGACGTCGAGGGCGTGGCGCAGTGGCCGTACCGGGCCATCGCAGAGGCCATGGAAGTTATCCCGCGTACGCTGATCCAGAACAGCGGAAACAGCCCGATCAGGGTGCTCACGCAGCTGCGGGCGAAGCATGCAGAGCAGGGCGGCGAGAGCTGGGGCGTCGATGGCGAGGCGGGCAAGGTGGTCGATATGAAGGAGTACGGCGTTTGGGAGCCCATGGCGGTCAAGGAGCAGAGCGTCAAGACGGCGGTGGAGAGCGCGTGTTTGTTGCTGCGGGTTGATGACATTGTGGCGGCCAAGGCGGCGAAGCAGGCGGGCGGGAGTGGGTTGCAGGGGGGTGGGGAGGAGTAGCGTGGGTCGTATGTGTGAGGTGCACGCGTGTGTGGAGATGGGGATGGGAGGAAGAAGTCCCTTCCGGGTAGGGTTTTCTTCCCTTTGGCGAGAAAGCGGGCGGCTGGCCGAAGCTGGACAGCGTTGTGTGTCTACAAAACCGCCCAGAGCTGTCACCACATGGGAAGGGAGTGACGCTCGCATTGCCGACAGGTAAGAAGATATAGATCGCCCCTATAGAAAGCGGTACTTGGCAAGTTTTTTTTTGACGGAGGAAACGGCTCTAGCGCTTGAGTGACTCGTGTTGAACGTTTCATGAAGATTATGGGACAAAGAGGTTTCAAGGCAATCTGGAGGCGGCACAACGAATAAAATCGCAGTTGCGGGCAAACAGCAATCCCAATGGGGGAGCGAAAGCAAAGCCGAATGAGTGGCTTCTATCATTGGTCTATCCGTAAGCCTAGGAGCATTGTCGATCAATAACAACAACACTTTTCCCCTCCACACCGCCTCACCGTAGCAAGCGATACCCACTTCTCAAGACCCCAACGCCCGCTAAAGCCAAAAAGCCAAAGCCAGTCCATCCACCATCCACCATTCACCCCTCGAGGCTTTCCCACCCCCTTACAGTCTCCGCCCTTTTCCCCCGCCATCTCACGACTTCTTCGCAAACTTAGGCTCCCCGATCTTATCCCCCCTCAGCACAACATTCAGCACCCTCTCCATGGTGCCCAGCAGCTTCTGATCCGGCGGCGCGGAGCCGCGCTCAAAGTCGGCGACGATGGTGGGCGTCGTGTTGCACTTTGTCGCCAAGTCCTTCTGGGTCATGGTGGTGCCTTTGTCGTTCTTGGCGTTGGCCCGCGCCGCTTTGATCGCGTCGCCGACTTTCGTGCCCACGGTCTTGGGCTTGATGATTTCGTCGGAGCGGTCCACTTTCGTGAGGTGCTGGCCTTCTACTGCTGGTTTCTGGGGGGGGTTGTTAGTGTGGGTGTTCGTAAAGTGGAGAAGCGGTGAGGTGATGGGGACTGTGTAGTACGGATAGAGGAGAGGAGAGGAGTGGCGGTGGAAGAGAGGAAGGGTTCAGGCGTTCTGGTCCTGCTGGGAACGTACCTGGTTCGCAGTAGCAAACTTCTTCTCCGTAGCAACGATGCCGCCGCTCCGCTGTGCGGCGTTCAAGGCCGCCTTGCCCCGGACCACCGTCTCACGCTGCTGGGCGCCAGGGCCGCGGGTCTTGCTGCCGATCTTGGTGACGGATTCCCAGTCCTCTGACATGTTGAGCGTGAGTGGCTTTTGTGCTGGTTGGGTATGATAGCCCGGTTCGGAGGGTTGTAGACTGGAGGTTGTGGCGGTGTGTGCGGTGGTTGTGAAGGCTGTCGGTTGTGGAAGCGGATGGAGAGATGGATGTGGAGGTAGAAGTGGTTTGTTGCTGGGGGCAAATACAGTAGTTAAGTAGGTGCAGGCTGATATATGAGTCGTTGCTGAATAAATCGGGAGGCGCTGTGTCATAGGTCAGCACGGGTGAAGCTCGGCGGCGTCTCGACTTCTATCGGATTCTTTCGGGCAGTTTTGCCTCAGGCCGCATCTGTCCGTTGGTGCGCAGTCAATGGGTTTGAAGATTCTGCCAACACGATAGAGTTGCAGTGGAAGAGCGTGATGTGATGTATCTAGAACCGGTTTGAATTCTCTCAGAGCTACTGGAGCATCCTACTCTACCCCTATCATACAATGTATTCCGTTGCTGCGCAGTGAATTACAATATCCCTCGCCGCAGCTACAGCAATCGCCTTGAGCAAACACAGTCTCACAGAACCGCGAGCAAAATGAAGCATACTGAGGGCACAACAGCCCAAGAAGCAGAGCGATACCACCCATGCGGAAACGCCGCAGCAATCTCTCGAAAAGCAAGCAAGCAAGCAACCGCAGCCGTCCCACCGAGTCCAGCCGTATGCAGTGGTGCAACGGGATCTAACAACCTCTATAGCCAGGCTCGTGAATCGTCGTAGTCATGGTCGTCCAAGGCAAAAAGCAAGAATCGGTCCTCACAAATCGTAGCCCAACGCCTGGGTCGCCTTGGTGAAGGTGTCGTAGGTCGTGAGTGCTCCCAGTGCGCGTCGCATGTGCGCGTCGAGGAGCTGGAGACCGTAGACGTAGCTGGCATTGACCCAGCCGAAGCTGTGATGTTGTCAGTATAGAGTATTTATAGAGACATGGCACGCAAGACTCACCCTTCGCGCGGAACGCCCTTGAAATCGCTACCCTGGTTGCCATACTCGGCTTCAACCTTGTGAGGATCAATCGGCCGCGTGACGTCGTACTTCTCAACGACGACCCCGTTGAAGTCGACGAAAGCCTTAGTGATCATGTACAGCCACCTGTACGCCAACCTCTGCGCCTCAGCCTCGTAGCCGTAGCGCTGCAAGCCGACCCAAGCGAGGATCTGCTGCGGCGCCCAGCCGAACGGATAGTCCCATTGACGGTTAGGCCGGTCGAGACCCACTTTACCGCGAGACTCTTCGGTTCCGGAGACGAGGCCACCAAATGCTTCGAAGCGGGGGAGAGCACGCTCAACTAACGCCGCCGCCTGGCGAGGGCTCGCAACACCAGACCACATCGGCCAGAACGTTGTCGCACTCTCGTAGCTAGTCCGCTGCTTCTTGACGGTGTCGTAGTCGAAGTACATGCCCTTCTCCTCGTTCCACATGAACTTGTCCATGAGAGTCCTCCTCCGTCTGGCTCGGCGATCCCAGGTGGCAGACGTCTCCGCATGGCCGGGCACCATATCCTTGGTGCAGAACTCAGCCGGGATTAGGAGCCTGTCTCCAAAGTGGCCGCGGATGGTGCGAGCGATATCGGTCTCGTACTTGTACAAGAGGGCGTTGAGATCCACAGTGGCAAGATTGGCAGCCACCTTCTCTAGGCGGTATGAGGTATCGTGACCAGACTCGCGCACTGCTCGGTCGTGCAGGAAGTACTCGTCGAGTTCGGGCTCGTCCACACGATGGTGGTTGTAAGCGTCCACGAATTCTGCAAAGGTCATGTTGTGCTTCTTTGCGTAAGGCTCCAGCAGGTGCGTGAAGTGAGATGCTTCCGTCTCAGGCGGAATACCTACGCCATTTGCCCGATACCTTGATAGCCCGGAAACAGGATCGTACCTCGGCGCAGCCATCCAGACGTTGTGGTACTCCTTGATTGCAGCCAGAATAGCGAACCGTAAAAATTCCAGGGCTCCTGGCTCATGCTTGATGCGATCGTAGCAGCGCAGCGCCATGTCAGTGAGGAAAGGTGGCTGTGTCCGGCACAGGTAATAGGACCGATTTGCGTTGAGAATCTTGCCGTAGTGCTTGATGCAGAAAGAAAAGTTGATGACCATAGACTTGACTAGATCGATGCGGTCATGGACAAGAAGACCTAGAGATGCCATGTAGCTGTCCCATCCATACAGTTCGTTGAAGCGGCCACCAGGCACGACGAATGGCATGCCGCGAAGGTCCTTCTCGCCCGTAGTGGGGTCTTTGACATACTCTTCCATGGCAACTGCAAGGATGCCGGGAGCCTGATTCAGGTCTCGAACATACTCAGGGTCCGCGCATTCTTCCTGCAGCCATTGTACATCCAGACGCATGCCAGGGTGTTCCTCTGCAATCCGAGTGTAATATGCGTGCTGCTCCGGTGCACCCTTAGGAACGTAGACACGCGGCCGTGGGTCACTAGTCCAGTCCTTCGGATCGCGTGCCACCTTTTCAATGTTCGAGCCATCAATGCGGCGTGTGAGGTTGTTCCAGAACGAGTCTCTAATCAGGCGGTGGAGACGGTTGACGGGGTTCTCGTTCAAACGAGCCTCGTCGAGGACGATCGTCTTACGTCCGTAGTCTTGGGCGAGTGTGAGCTCCTGCAGGAGGTTCGACAGCATGTAGGTTCCGCGGACGTCGAAGCGGTTGTAGCCATTGGAGGCTGCCGTACCCACGGAAAGCACCTAGGGTGAACGTGTCAACGGCCGTCTGCTGCGGGTTGAGGATGTAGCTGTTTACCTTGGGGCCTGCATCCTCGATTGTGATCTGGTAGTTGTTGTCCGTGTCTTCGCGAGACAGCAAGGTCTTCAGAGTGGACTCGACGGGAATCAGGAACTTTCGCGGTTGGATGGTTTGCTCATCTGCCAGGCACGCAGTGTCAGTGTGGTTGTCACGGTGTCAGATTGCATGTGTACCGACCGTGACTCGACCGCCGGGCTTGCTCCTTGAGGCCGGTTGCCGTGAGGTTGCGAGCGCTGTTATCTACGATCTGTACCGGATTTAAGTCAGCTCATGAATATGAAGGCGAGACGATGAGTGATTGCACTTACAGCCGAGTACGTGCGGGACCTCGAGCCCGCGCCCTTCTTGTGCGACTGACCGTAATAGATGTGGTCTGCGGCGAGCGGATCAAATTCGTGAGTGGAGCTGCGTTGCTGAGGCTTGAATTGCGCGCTCATGACAAGCGGACGGGTGTGCAACGACGGTTGAAGAAGTGAGAAGGTGGGAGGTGGGAAGAGGCTCGATGTCTCGAGCGTTGGGATCTTTATCTGAGTGCTAGGTAGTGGGGACTGCAGACGCAAGCCTGGTTGCTAAGACTAGGAGTAGCGAATAGCGCGGGTCGGGGCGGATGTCACAGGTGATCGAGGGTCGAGCGCTTCGCTTGTACAACGATCGTGAGGTTTCAGTGAGGTGTGCAGGTGGTGCAGCTGAGGGGATGTGAGGCGTCGGAACGAGATGGGGGAGGCAATCAGAAGTTTCGCTTTTGAGCCGGGTCACACGATGGGGAAAGCGGTGTGGATAAACGCCCGGTGGAAAGGGCAAGGACGGCCTCACGATAGACTTTTGAAGGGCAGGAAGCAGGAGGCTGTCCGCGGCGGTGACGGCGGGGCAATTCTTTGTCCTCGCTAGGAGCATTGAGAGGCCTCGGCCCAGTGAGCGGCTTCCAAATTGCATTGTCAAGACAACTCGCTTTCACAGAGTCTTCCATGAGTCGCCAGCAGACGGCGTTCGAGGCGTGCAGGGCAGGCCTGCGATTAAAAAAAAGCTTCGTCCGACGATGGACGAGTTTTCAGCTCGATCCCTTGTGGCTGCAGGGCCCGGGCACGATGACGATACCCTAGCCCCATCGGCGGGCGCGCGAATCAGCTCAAAGCGGCTAAGCTGGACCCTCAACTTGCCGGATGGATCCCCATTTAGCGCTGTCCGGGAGCAAACTCCTACTGATTCAGTGCTCCCCCTCCTCCGCCCCGTCTCCCACCCGCCCCTTTTTCTAGAAGGTAAGCACAGTCAGGTTCGTTCCTGTCAGCGTCCGGGTGGCGAGTAGCGAGTGGCAGCTATCGTGTCTTCGTTCCATCATCGTGCACGAAGCAGCACGAACGCTCATCGTGACCACACGATGAGCGACGTCAAACGCCGGGGAGCTTGGCCAACCCTCCGCCCGGCCACCGAAGGTGCTACAAGCATCGTCACCTACTCGTTTCCACTTCACAGGCTCTTCCTTTCGAACAAGAAGGCAAGAGAGAACGATGAAGAGGAAAGAGCAGAAGGGAAGGTCCCAACGCGTTAAGGGCACACCAGCCTACGGCTCCGTCGCCCGACGCAATGCGGACCCAAGTCCTCGCCCCGAGACCGCTGAGTCGCTTCCCGCCTTGGAGTGTTTGCGTTGGAAGTCTCCCCGGCGTGACCATGAGAGACTTTCGGGGCGCACAGTGAGTGCCTCATGGTTCTTTGCTTGTCGAACGCCTGTGTTCCAGACGTTGGCCATCGAATCTTGAAGACCTGAAGGCACAGGGCTGCCACGTTGCCTTGTGCAACTCGGGTTCAGCCTCATAGTGTCGCGTGAGTCGCTGACCCGATGTAAGTCGTCTGACTACTTTGCGGCAGGCGAGCCTCACTGGCAGTGCGACGCTTTGGTGCGCTAGCAGGCACACAACTCGGTGAGTGTTAGCTACCAGGATTGAGCAATGATTCCCTCACGCTCAGAGATTTGAAGAAACGCTGGTAAATGAGCGAGCAGTTCTGCTGCTATATTTTTTACTTTTTCTTTGCATCGTTATCTCGTCAATCCAGAATTATACACATTACCTCTACATGGCTGAAAACAGACCAACTTTTCGCATCACTACGGCTGCCGACTCAAGGCATAACGCGCCACTAAGACTTAGATCTCTTTCATCTCTCCCACCGCGGCTCATATGGGCCAGGCCGCTCCCGTGTCCATTGTCTAAGGTTTCTGTGCACCCTCAAATCTTCCTCTACATTACCGGCGTACTCAAACCCTCGCTCGCCTGCGGCTGGACGCTCGACCCTGAGACTCCCATACGAGGTCTGTGCGCCTACCGTCGAAGCGGGCTCCACGATCATGGACGAAGTGCTTGGCTGAACAGCTCGCGTACCGATCGCCGACCGTGCCGACTCCTCAGCGACTAACTGCCTTATCGACGCTGACTCCATGTCACCGCACTTGATCCCCATCTCCGTCATGGCCATCCTTTCGAACAATGGGTACGGAGCTGCTGCCGCACCTGGGGTGCAGAATCGCTCGAGCGGCAACGCCGACGAACCGGTGGGCGGGCGATACAGCTCCACGCTGGATCTAAGATATTCGGCCATGTAGGGAGCTTGCGGCTGTTGAGGTCGTCGCCGGCCGTCCTCGTCGAGTCTCGCTGCAACCCCGCCGTCGGGATAGCACCGCTCATACACCGCCCGGTTGTAGTCTTGAGTTTGGTCTTCGTAAACGCGGTCTTTTGAGTAGTGGATGTCACCCTGCGCAGGAGTGTTAGCTGTGGCGTGCTGACTTGCGTTATAGAACCCGACGACTCACCGAGCGATAGCTCTTCTGTTGTCGAAAGAGGTTGTCCTCGGTCAACGCCTGCCCTCTCAGTGCATCGTACTGCCGCTTTTGACCCTGGGACGGTCGTCCTGCGCTCGATGTCGCACGGCCAGCGTACGTCTGATTATATTCGTCACTCATGATGAGTATCAGGGTGACGGATCGATCTTGTGAGATGACGCTACCCTGGGTAGCGAATGGTGTAAGATGGGTAAGAAGGAGCTTCGAGAGGTACGTCGGGTGCCTTGGTTACAGGGACCTGGAAGCTGTACTGGGCCTCGTTGACTACCACACTGTTCTCCGAAGCGCATGGAGAAGATATCGGCGAGCTGCAAACAGAGATGAGCGGCCGAGATGAACGAATGGTAAGAGGCAACACGGAGGCCTTGGTTTAAAAGATCTGGAGGCCATTAGCGGATGTCACAAGGGCGGCTTCAGACATCCCAAGCGACGTCACCGACATCTGATCGGGGGAGGAAGGGCGGTATCCCTATGTGCCGCACGTACCAGGGCGACGCTAGTCAAGCAAGAAGGCGGGGTGCTCTCCCTGGGCAAAGGAGGGTCGGGTTCAAGAGGGCGAGTGGTGGTAGTAATAATATTAGGTAGCAGATGTACGGAGCAATGTGTTCAAGGTCGAAAGCAGGCTTGCTGGTATCGACTCCTCAGGCCTCAGGGCCAACGCTCCCTTTAAGCAAAATGGTTCCATTGCTTGCGATAGGAGCCTGGGGCAGAGTGTTCACACAACCGTTAGCGCGATCACTTTGAAACGGATGTAAGTACGTGGGCTCCGTTACTGTGTTAAACGTATGCGCGATCTCCCCTCGCCCATCCGCCCGCTAAGCAGCGATACCCCTACTATTGAATCCAATGTGCACTGCCTTCTTTGACTGGGTGCCGTAGTGGGAGAGCGTGGTACGAAGGCCGGGGCGCCATGAGGCCCGGCTGAGGCTGTCGACCAACAGCACAGAGCAGGGGGGTTGTCCGGAAGAGGCAGGGCTCCAAGCGCCCTGAATATCTGCTACTTGCGTGAGAGAACCCTTGATGCGATGCGCCCATCTAAAAGAGCCTCAACTCCATTTGGATTTTACGTGTCAAACGTTGTCTTGGATTCTTGGCTGCATTGCGGCCGTACCAGACAACGATTTCGAGCGCTGTTCCGATCGCTTTAGGGAAAAGAGTCTGCTACATGACGCTCGCTTCAACGGCGGTTTCATGCCACACGCCTAGGGAAAACCGTTACTGTGATGATGCTGAAGCTGTTGACGGCGCTGATTGATCACTGTTAGTCAACGAAGGGACATCTTGGCACGCAGGTAGTGGAGTCTGCCTCGCGTCTAATTCAGTGCTCTGCTAACGTTGACACTCATGGTTCTCTGCTGTCGCATTTCCTTTTCTTGTCACGCATCCATGTGCCCACAGACCAGCAGTCCGGATGCGGATATTGAACAGGGACCTTTTCATAGATCTTTCATTATTATCAACATCACCACAACCACCAATCCGCACTCCGCACTCCGTGTGTTTTACCCTGTATACACTAATGCAAATGCACGAGCGGAGCCTTCGCGATCCGCTGCCCCAATTGCAGCACCGCCTGCTAGCGTCACGGCTGTCGCTCTTCTGCCGCCCTTTTCATGCACCGTTACCCTTTGCGCTGGCCGCACATCCAGTGCGCGCGCCAGCCGTTGCCAAAGGGCGTTTGACGTTTTTCAGCTTTCCCCAGTACCTGGATTAACTGTTTCATGCGGGCCCGGCACCATGTCACGCCGGGCGGGAGAATATTCTTCGAAGGGCGCCGTCACCTCGCTGAGCCACCATGCTGGTATCAATGACTCGAAGGGGCGGTTTGTGACCTCGCTCCCATGTTTGTAGTGTGTACCAGCACGCACATGTAAAGCCGCAGGTTGGAGAAGAGGCAGATAGGTTCAGCGCGAAAATAGCTGGAAAGCTAACTGCAAACTGCAAAAGCACTTCTTCATAGTTGCATTGCTCCATCGGAAGGCCAACGAGCGCAGCTTTTCCAGGGACAGGCGCTTCGTGGCCCTTGGTGAACCGGCAGCGGGATGGACGCTTCGTTTGCAACGGTATCAAAGCGCTGACAGGGGCTCAGCGATCATACTACACACTCTACTCGTTGGCGGCGTCAGCCTTGTTGAGGGGAAAAACTAGGTGACGTTATCTCAAAACTTCGATAAATAATTTTAATGCAGCTTTGCATAGCCTGCACCCGCCGAAGCTTCCATGCAGGGTCGAAATGTGCCTTATGCTAGGCACGGCATAATGCTTCATTTCGTCATTCCCACCTCCCATTTTCCAGTTCAGCACCACAGCCCCGAGCTGCTCTGCTCCACTCTCCGGCGCTCATGATCTAGTTAGAGGCTTCCTTGACTGCAGTCGTGAGCATCTCCGTATCGCGTTGATCTTTCATAACTTTAGCCTAAGGCGAGCCTTGAAACATTCCAACAGCCATCATCAGGGATTCGGCTTCTTCCTTCCGCATCCCATGCAAGCCGTGCGTGCCAGCCGTTGCTGGGCGTCTGGATTTCTACAAGACGGGCAACGCCTGACTGAAGCAGTTTAGATCCATCCGTCGGTATGGTACTCGTCATCAAGCTGAAAAATATGTACCAATAGCCACTACACTGGTAACAGTACCTGCTCGTAAGCACATTATAAGAATAGTTTTTTTGAGCAACTCCAGCCTTGCGTGTACGCGTAGACATCTTAGATCCAAAACAACAAGCGAAGAACACGCGGTCCAACAATAGTAACGCGATTAGAGGAAGGCCAGGTGGCCAAAAAGAGGAAGTGTGCCTCAGACGTGCGACTCCAGGGCTGCTCAGGGCGCTTTGCCAGAAGGAGCAAATGGCGGGCGGCGCTAACGGCTGCATCCACCCCGCGGGGATTTTGCCTGATCCTGGGGATTTCTGTGTGCGACCTCGATTCGCACGCACATGGCAGCGCTGGAGAACCCCCCATGAGTTGTTGCGCGCCGGCGCTAAAATCGCCCAAGCTCGTCGATGTTGGATATCCTTCGCCTTCTCTTGGCTCCGCGCTCTATGGATGTTGCGCCAGATCCTACGCCAGCGTTACCAGAACGGCGCGAAGGAATTTTTCCGCAAGCCGGTATCGAACACGGCTGGCTCTGGAGAAAGATTGGCGATGAAACACGCCTATCGCTCGAGCCGGTCCCTGCTGGGCATATCGTGCAGCGAACCTGTCCCCTACCCTCCTGCCTTGCGCTGTTGTCGCAGTCGCGCTTTCTTAGTGTCATATTCGCGCCAGTCTCTCCTACGCTTTCCTCATTCCCTCCCGTTACCTACTGGCGTCCTGCGCTGCTCGGACGCAATTAAATCATGCAACGCGTCATCTTTTCACTTCTCAAGACGCCTCACACGCGCAAGGCACTCCTCGCGCCCTTGCACAGCTGAGGAGATCCACCATCCTGGTCCTCGGGTTTCCAGTGCTTGCGCCGGCGCGCGAGCTACTGGGTAGCGTCACGACCGCCGCCGGGGGGGATGGCGGGCTCTTTAGGTAGCCGCCCCGGCAAGACGCCTTACCGTAGGGATAGTTCTTGAAGCCGAATCCGCTCTCAAACATCGCCGCGGAAGATGGCCCGTCGCCACTTGTTCGGCCTTGCCAGCGCACGGATTACGAATGCACTCCATGAATCGTATCGTCGGTTCACTAGACACGTCACAACACCGTCCAGGCTAGTGCGTCTTGTGCTTGCTGAGACTGTGGGCGGGAAGCGGCCCGTGAACAAGACGTTTCCATTTCTCCCGCCGCACCGCCCTGTTGTGGCTGCTGGCGTCTTGCGGATACAGACGAAGCACTGGCTGCCAAGGCGGCAAAGCATGCGCGCATCTCCGGATCCTTCACCATGAGGGGGTCTTCGTGACATGTACAGGAGACTGCATAGCTCTATCCAGCGTGTCAATGCGCTGCCGGGTCAACTACGTATGAACAGCTATGTGGGAGCTGGGCAGTCAACATCGAAGATGCACTAACGCTTATCGGAGGATAGAGACTCTAGCATATCAAGCGGATGACCCTAAGTTTGACCAAGCTTGAAAGAATTCGACACGTGATAGAACGCTTTGTCCTTGCTGCAACCGCTAGAAGAGTCCGAGAGAGGTTTTGTGTGGACGTCTACAGCACGTTCATAGCCCACGTCGGTGGCATTGCAGACCGCTTCTACTGCTCCGACCCCATGTCTGGTAGCCCTTGCAACTCAAACGAATCCACGGCCCATCTTGCCACCACATTATTCGCGGAGACCACCCGTGTGATGCCAGTTCGATGTACTAGCGGCAGACGTCCCCGATCCAGTTCACAATCCTGCTCCCCTAATTGGGACATCTCCTTCTATCCCCACTCCCAGGTGAGGCCCCGCAGTGCGGCTTGTACAATCTGGTCACAAGAGCTGTCTGATCGGTGAGCGAAACCGCCATGTCAGCGTCCGACATCGGGAAAATCTGTGAATCAAACCCCGCAAGTGAGCCATCTGCCTGGGTGCCGGTCCACCTTTCGAACAGCCGCATGCCTCGTGCCGGTAACGGATGGATCTCTCCTGATTCCGCCATCTCAAAGTGGGCTGTCTGATCGGGGCCGTAGTTCAGCGCGTATGGTAGGGTGATGCTGAACTTGTCAAGTGGCAGCGGACGGTAGATTCACCTGCGGGACTCTGCCAGAGTCAAACAACCCAAGAGACCTTCGGAGGTCTTAAGGCGGTCCCGTGCGTGGTTGAGGTAGGCTTGGATCCGCTTTTGATGTTGCTCGAGCTCGACTTCTAGGAGGGAGATAAACTGGATCTCTAGGCTCTCTCTGTCTCCTTGTGTGTAAAGACCGGATTTCTTGACGTTTGTGATGAATGCATCCTCTAGATCATATCTGCTGCTCTCCGGATCGAAAGATGCCGTCCCTGGAACATACTGCATCAAGACTGCGCGCCTCCATGAGTAGATCGGATTCCAGAAGTCCACCATCATCAACGCGTTGAAGGCTCTTGCGGAAAGGACGGATGAAAGGGTCTTGTCGGCCTTCATCTCGATAGTCTGCATTACAAGTACTCCCTGCGCATCTTCATAGGACGGTTGGAGGATCATGAATGTTCCATACTCGCCTTC